AGTCAGTTTGACAATCTGAAAATTCAGCACACACTACTCTGTCCACTTGAGCACATGTTTGAATTTTATTTGAACCATGAAAGAACAAAAGTGCATGTATGTGCGGTAACCCCTTTTTTTGGAATTCAATTATAAAAACATGTGCCACTTTTCTACCAAAGACGTTGTTTCTATCTCTTTCATCAAAAAATTTCTTTTCAACTCAAGAATACGGGCCACTAAATCAAGACGGACAGTAGGGATCTGATTTGGCAATAGTGAATTAGTAATTTCAGGCCATTTGGAATTGCAGTCATAGTTAAAAAAATATCAGGGTGTTGATTATACCGCGTGATAGCCATTGAATCTTGAAAATTTTAAATATATGTCTTGCACTACCAGTGAATGAAGATGACAAAACCATTCGTTGACCAACTTGTTCAGGACCAAGCTCATTTGCACAAACATTTGTAAGACCTTGGTAAAGTTCTGCACGAAGCTTCGATTGATTCAACTTGTAGTACGTCAACCGATTTTGTTTAGTAGTGGTCCAATCATCTACTTCAAATTCCTGAAATAGTTTTTCAACTCTCAAAATTGTTAAATACTCAGTGTCACGTTAGAACATACGATAATTGTAATATTGCAACTGTGTCAGTCGAGTAGATAAAGGTTCACCTTGGGAAGTGTTCCACTGTTTTAAATCTGGATTCCATCCTAGCTCACCATAAGAGAACAATACCACATAATACAATGACAAATAGGCCGGATGACACTCATTAAATTATATCAAACCATTATTTCCTCTTAAATGTAACACAATATCTCTCATTCCACTTGATTCAGTTCCATCTCCCGGTAATATTACCGCAATCTCATCGATTGTTGGGAGATTATATCGACGCTGATCTGTTATAGAACTGTAGTGAAGATAGACCGATAAATTCACCCCCGCAAATTCCAATTCACTTAAAATTGTGTGAGTCTGCCGAAATTTCATAGGAAATGGATTTATTTGTAATAAACAATCTTGGATAGTTTTCAAAACATCTCTTCTCAAGTTAGGATTTCTATTGCTGCGAACATCTAAAGCTGAATTAGGATCATAAATATACAATTAAGAGTAAATTGGTTCACACCTTGGCTGTGGCATAAGCGATCATGTTCGATGGTGTAATTCTCCATGGATGGTGAATGTTTTAGGCCCCCTCCCAACAATTAATCTGTCATTCAAAGGAGCACCAAGACTTGTAAACGCATTAATTGCATTATACTCTCGTGTGTGCTGACGAAACGATTTTGATTATTCATTATTGTTGGCATACAATGCTTTAAGCATTAAAGTATGTGCAATAAGTGGAGGTAGTCTCATTTTTCCTTGTAAACAACATTTACCAAAGAGAGGATTTGATATAGATAATTTTGTTAATTTTTCAATAAGCCAATGTAAAGCAGAACAATGAGGATATGTTCGATTCATCAAGTCGAGGAAATGACGATTTGAAATTTCATGGTTTCGAGAATTAAGTGCAACATCCATAACTACACCTTCTTCTACAGTGTAGGCACTACACATAAAATTTAGATGTCATACAATTTGATTGTATAAATTAAATACAAACTTAAAAGGAGAACATGAATAAGACAACAAGAGTGAGAATAGAAAATTAAAATTTATAGGGAACACCTGGTGCCTTCATTCGGATTACGTATTTTTTGGAACATGTTTGTCATATCCGATGCCCCTGGGGAACATGGGGAGAATGATTCCAAGACTGTTGTTATGCTTTTGTCTAGGTTTTGAGGAGGCAAGTCTTGGAGCATGGTAGTCACAGGCGACACCATTGAGATATTTGTTGGTGTGCCTTCTTCAAGATTTTGAGGAGGATTTTCTTGATTCATGATGGCCACAGACAACCACCGTGAAACAATTGTTGTAGTGTCTTCATTAAGATTTTGAAGCAAGGTGGTTGACGATGACTCTAAAACATTTGTTGTCACTATACTGTCTGTTACATGATTGAAAATTTTGGCAGACAAAGTCATTGGTTGAAGGCGGGACCTTTTATTTGATTCTTGTTCTAGGCATGCTGGGCGACGACGACTCGATGGTAAAGAAGGAAAAAATCTAGGCTGAACGGGGGCACAATGTTTTGATCGCTTTCTTTCGTGACGTGCAAGTTGTTCCAATTGATGTTTGAAGCACTCATTTTCTTTCCCAACATAACGCATTTCTGGAGCAAGCCTTGCACATTATGACAGTGTTGATTTTGATATAACATTATAGTTTGGTGCGTAAACCATAAACTCACAAAAAATTAATTATTATTTTGTTGATTTAACGTATATCGTATCGTTTTCCACTTTGTATATATAGCAACGCGAGATAACATGACAAATCATAGTGCTACAATGTTAACAGTAATACGGATCAAAAGATTTACTAAACTCTTATTATATAACAGTGTTCCATTAACAGAACTATCTACCCAACCATTTATCAACATAATAATTATAATAAAATTTTTGTTTGATACAAAAATAAAATACCATAACCACAGTTACATCCAACACATTGTTTACTAATTACTAAACAGATGACAAAAAATACAATATCATATTATACAGTAACATGTTCTATAGTATTTATCAACATTATAATTATAATAAAATTTTTGATTGATGCAAAAATAAAACATCATAGTCACAGTTGCATCCAACACATTGTTTACTAATTACTGGATAGATGACAAAAATGTAACATCAGATTATAGAGTAACATGTTCTATAGTAATATGCTTGATCAATAGTATATTGAATTTAACAGCTTGAAATGTATGCTATATATAAGATCAAAATATGCTTCAAACTACTGAGAAAGGTTGAGGTTTCACTATTGATCGATGCTTCAAATTATAAAATATTCAAACAAATTTATAATTTTAAAAAATGAAACTCAACAAACGATTTATATTATATGTCATAACAAAAGCATAAAGGCCACAAATTAACATTAAAATTAAAAAACTAAAACTCTCAACTACAAAATTGATAAAAAAAAATAAAAAATTATAATTTTTTAATAATTTAATTGTATACACAAAATAACACGATAAAAAAAATAATGTGTCTTGTATAAATTTGCCCTCTCTCAAATGTAGTTGTGCCTTGTATTTTCAATGTCCATTCACTAACCACTTTTCAAGTCATACTATACTAGATAAGTTCTCAGGGAGGCATCTCTTGTTCTTTCATAGCGTATCAGTTGATTGACACTAGCTTGTTCCAATCAAAGCTGTCAAAAAACAAAGTGTCCTATAATCTTGGGAATGAGGTTGGAAGAAACAACATCGACATCCGACATTAATACATCAATTTTACTGTTTTTTTTTAATGTTTTTATCGCCATTTTGTAGTCATCAACCCCGAGGATTGGGATAGTTTATCGCGCATTACAATGATATGATCTCGAGTGTCCAATCACTGCACAAAATGCAAATCCTTGTGCAGTGGGGATTGTCTTGTGTTATAGCAATTCTAACAGGTTCTTCAAAAGGCTATTGTTAGCAATTTTATAGAGTTTGTTCTTAAAGTCTCCCTCCAACAACTTAGTTATCTTTCTAACTATTTTTCATGATTTCATTTTTTTAGCTATTTTTGATGAGGCAAAGGGAAGTTAGTTGATTTTTGTGTCAAGTTTTTCATTCCACAGCATTGATCAATTTTTTTTGATTGTCTTCACGGTCGTCGTCTTCATCAAGCACCTAATGTATGCTCTTTTCTCTCTCTATATCTCTGTCTCTCTTCCTCTCTTCCTCTCTATCTTCGTTCATTGAAAATCTTATATAAAAACTCAATATCTCTTTTGGTTCCCACTGAAAACCCTAAAAAACCTAAAAAATTCCATCAGAAAACTCACAAAAAACTCAAAAATCCCACCAAAAAACCTATGAAATTCCACCATCTCTCTCGGTTTCCCACTGAAAACCCTCCAAAAAAATCCACCCAAAAACTCAAAAAATCCCACCAAAAAAACCAACAAAAAACTTAACAAAAATGTTGTTGTTGTTTTGATTCTTTTTTAAATTTGCATGCTAAGAGACTGGACCAGATCAGAAAATCGGTTGAACCAGTAATAGACATGGCAGAGATGATAGCTTGAACGTCTTCCTCATTCTATGCTTCTTATTTTTTTGTAAAACATGTTTGCATATTATGTTTGTTGTGACATGTTACATAGTATTTTAAATTCTAATAATTAATAGTTAGTTAAAATTAGTTGAAATAGTTAATTAAAATATAGAGTGTTGTTAGAGTGAATTAGTAAGAATTGCTCTTTAAAATAGTTAATGTAATAAAAAATAAATATTTTAACTAGCTATTTTAGCTAATATCCTTAGAGTTACTCTTAGATCTCACTTAAATTCATAGCGCTGGATCTACCTTTTTTTTTTGTTGAACAAATGTTGAATTATAATTTTTTGGGTTCCATTTAAATTTTGTAACATTACTCATAAAAATGTATCGAAAAGGATTCAATGGTACTGCATACTTGGGGTCTATTGCCACGTTTCTTGCTTCCAATAGCTGGAGTGACTGTAGGGTTTCTCTCTCGTGGCCTTACCTTCCTTTTCACTTAGTAGTTAGCACAATGTTCATGCTTTCTAGTCATTCAGGGGATTTATCTTTGTTGTAAGTGTTATGGGTGTAAGAGGTTGATTGAAGAGTCCATCTTAGATATCTCTTCATCATTGGAAAAGAGAAAGAGGACGCTGAACACTCTGAATTACATCACAATTGTGTAATTTTGACATCAGTAAGCTAAAAATTACTAAGGCATGAACACAAACAGATTTTATGAGTGAAATTATCAATTTACAGCCTACAATGAATCAGATTCTGATCTGATCAAGCAGCCACAAGTTTGTCTAAGTGGCCATCGTTTCCAGTGATCCTGTCCTAGGAAATCAATGCCTACAAAAACATAGAAAAGAAAGGAGAGAAGTCATGGACAACAATTAGGAATGTGTTGATGTTGAAGCTTTGGATGTGGATTATGAAGTTCCAAATAACATGAAGTTCCATGAGCATAATGCACAACATCCTTTGATGAGATCATGAGCTAGAGAATTTATTCATAGAATGAATAATCAAGAGAAACTAAAGTGTGAGAGCATTTTGGCTGAATCACTGCCCATGCTCAGCCCCATTCACAAATCTGACCAACGAGGAATACCATTTTGCCACACAGACAAAATACAAAACCAAAAAGAAATTTTGTTGAAGGATACTACAGACTACCAAATCTTCAACAAGTTCAATTTGCAAAGGAAAAGTAAGGAGGATGGATTCAAGCCAATTTGGATATGGAATACAGCAAGAGACACCAGTGTACCAAATCAGGCTGCAAATTAATCTCCTATGCCCATCCCTGATGAGGCAGAATGGATTGGGGAGTTAAAATCGAAGTCTTTCAATTGAAATACAAAATAAAGGAACATTAGTGCATAATACTAGTTACCCAATGATAATGACAACAATTAGCAGTCCATTGCTGATACCCAAAATTAAGCGGCTCTCTGTTTCTTGGATTTTGTTGAAGCCAGGAGAAAGTCATCATCTGACTCATTATCAGAGGCGGTATCCTCCATCTTGCGTTTCTTGGACTGCTTTGTCATCACTTTGGACTCTGATGTTGTCTTCTTTGTTAAAACACGGGAGGATGATGTTTTTCTCGTGACAGTAACAGATTCAGCCTTTTTCTTTACAGTCACAACAGTTTTCACTGGTGAACCTAGCTTTTGCTGTTGAATCTTTTTTTGTTTCCTCTCAAATACTTTCTTTGCCACCTCCTTGGAGAGCAAACCAAACTCCATCATCCTGCAATAGAGTAACCAAAGTTTATTTTCATAAAAACAAAAGACAGCTTATGACTCAGTGCATATATGCACACACATTGTGATACAAGAATCAAGTTGATAGAAATTGCAGAGAATCAGGAGTAACCAAGGGTGAAGTGGCTATGGAAAGTCCTTGCAAACCGAAGAATAAAGCCTCGAGTAGATGTGCATTAAATTGAATCTACTTGATCCATCCCATAATCCTCATAAAAATGTGGTTGAATAATGCATATTAGCCAATTCAATTGAATGCCCGTGATGGTCGTCGAGGTTGCCCTTTGAATTCACAATTAGCAACCAATTGCAGCATGCCTAACAACAAAATATCTTCATAGGACTTGAGCATTGAAAATGGATTCCTCTGTACACTTCAAACCTATACTACGGGGTTAAGTGTTACATTTAGACAATCTAAGTGCTCCGCTATGGTAGATGGGATTGCCTGTTTGCATTGGGACCATTTCAATCTACAGTTGAAGGGAGAGTCCTAAGGCTCCCTTACCGCGTGTGTGCAACTGCATAATTCAGAGTCTTCTACCATTTCCTACCTCGTGTTCGGCCATGATGGAAATCAATATACTCAAACTCCACAAGTAGCAATTGGATATATGAACAGAACACAAAGAGAAATATGGAAATCAACACTACAAAGTTCATATCAGTCACAGTTCAAGCATATATGAAAAAAACCCTTTCTTTTTTAGAGAAGGGCAATAGAAGAATTTCTCACCAGAAAGCTGCCATATCGCTATTAGGAACTTGCTNTCCATCTTGCGTTTCTTGGACTGCTTTGTCATCACTTTGGACTCTGATGTTGTCTTCTTTGTTAAAACACGGGAGGATGATGTTTTTCTCGTGACAGTAACAGATTCAGCCTTTTTCTTTACAGTCACAACAGTTTTCACTGGTGAACCTAGCTTTTGCTGTTGAATCTTTTTTTGTTTCCTCTCAAATACTTTCTTTGCCACCTCCTTGGAGAGCAAACCAAACTCCATCATCCTGCAATAGAGTAACCAAAGTTTATTTTCATAAAAACAAAAGACAGCTTATGACTCAGTGCATATATGCACACACATTGTGATACAAGAATCAAGTTGATAGAAATTGCAGAGAATCAGGAGTAACCAAGGGTGAAGTGGCTATGGAAAGTCCTTGCAAACCGAAGAATAAAGCCTCGAGTAGATGTGCATTAAATTGAATCTACTTGATCCATCCCATAATCCTCATAAAAATGTGGTTGAATAATGCATATTAGCCAATTCAATTGAATGCCCGTGATGGTCGTCGAGGTTGCCCTTTGAATTCACAATTAGCAACCAATTGCAGCATGCCTAACAACAAAATATCTTCATAGGACTTGAGCATTGAAAATGGATTCCTCTGTACACTTCAAACCTATACTACGGGGTTAAGTGTTACATTTAGACAATCTAAGTGCTCCGCTATGGTAGATGGGATTGCCTGTTTGCATTGGGACCATTTCAATCTACAGTTGAAGGGAGAGTCCTAAGGCTCCCTTACCGCGTGTGTGCAACTGCATAATTCAGAGTCTTCTACCATTTCCTACCTCGTGTTCGGCCATGATGGAAATCAATATACTCAAACTCCACAAGTAGCAATTGGATATATGAACAGAACACAAAGAGAAATATGGAAATCAACACTACAAAGTTCATATCAGTCACAGTTCAAGCATATATGAAAAAAACCCTTTCTTTTTTAGAGAAGGGCAATAGAAGAATTTCTCACCAGAAAGCTGCCATATCGCTATTAGGAACTTGCTCATACAAAGTTTCATAGAAAATCCTCAATGGGTCCCTCTGAAAAATCAGAATTGTTACAAACTCATTACTCAAATAATCCCCAAAAAAGACATCTTACAGCAATTCAATCAGTTCAAACAATCCAAGAAAAACATTTCAAGAATCAAGTAGACATACTTCCTCAGGAGGGTCTCGCTTCTGACCAGGCAAATCATACTCCTTCCTTTCCCTTTTCTTAGGATTTTGCTCAACTTTGTTGGCCCCTTTCTTCTTTTTCTCCTCCTCCTTGACCTTCTTCTTTTTCTGCACCTTTAACCCAAACCCAAAAGAAAATCCAGAGCCAACCACCAAGACAAAGTCATCATTCAATACCCAAAAAAAATAAATTATAAAAGCAAACAAACCCAAGATAAAGAAATCATAACAAACTTTATCAGCCTTCTTTGAGCTCTTCTTCGTAGTGGGTTCTTCAAAATCGTAGTCTTCTTTCTCCTTCTTCAATTTACCAACTTCTTTCTTGACTTTACCTTCCTTGGGGGAGCCAGATTTGGCAGTGGCATTGTCGGGTTTTTTCTTGCGGTTTTGAAACACAGAACCGAGGCATTTTTCGTCTTCCTCGTCCTCCACCTCCTCTTTCTTCACGGGCTTTGAATCTTCAGAAGGCATTTTTTGAGGAATAAAATCACAGAAATCGAAAGAAATTGGTGATACTGAGAAAACTCAGGAGGAGGAGCAGAGTGACGGACACAAGAGAGCGCGGTTAAGCGAGGGTAGGTTTTGGGTTATGGAATGTTTCGGATCGAACCACACAATCAGAGGGGCTGGATCTTTATAATTGGATTGGACCAATTGGTTAGCAATGAAAATCCTATATAAAAACTTTTGCTGGTGTTTCAATGGTTAGGTTTGATTTTTGGTAAGTCAGAGGTGTTAGATTTATTTTTATTTTTTTTGACACTCCTAAGTATCAGATATTCTTATTTCTCAGGGAAATATTCTAATTCAATTAAATTACGGTAGTCACCGTTGAACTCAAAAAAATAATCAGTTTAAGTCCAAATACCTTGTAATAAAAAAAATTATATAAAATTTTCAAGGGTAATTTAAGTGGTAATAAAAACGAATTATAAAGTTAAATATTTTCAGTTTAAATCTTGACAATCCCTTGAGACTGAGTCATAAGAAAATTCGTTAGGAATATCCTATTCTCAGCATAAGATGTCTGTCTTTGACAATATCAAAGAGAAAATTAATCAAAATACATATAAGTTGATTTAAATATTCAAAAAAAACACAAGTTAAATGTGTGCATTGGAGTTGGAGTGGGAGGAACCCTAAAATTGAATTGGGCCAACAACACATCCAATCCCATTTATGCACGGAGAGATTAATACAAAATACTAAAAGTCTTTATAAATTCTTCCATTAACCAATAGATTCTGTTTTTCGACTATGATTCTATACAACTACACATGTTTTATTTCCTAGTTTACCTTTTCTACAACGTAATCATAGTATTAAAGTTAATCATGTCATATTTATTAGAGCACATATTTAAGTGTATATTATTGTGGGTTGAAAATTTGAAAAGAAAAGTTGACTTAATGATATGAGAGTTAAAATGATCCGTTAATATTTTTTTTATTAATATAATATTACTTGAAACATTATTACTAGAGTATATTTATCATATTTTTAAGTTCAAAAATACTAAATTGTCCGCTTATACTTGTGCGCTTTTCTTTTTCAAACGAATTCAAACTTGAACACTATTGAAACTCAGGCCTAAGTCAAGCTTTATTCTTCACTTGAAATGACGACCTTTCAATTTGTGAGTGGGTATAAATAGATGATTTTTTAAAGAATCAGGGTGTTAATATATTATAATATTTGAATTGATATTAAACTTTATTTAATATTGAGACTTTTACTAATGGTTAGAACACAATGTACTAAATTCTCAAATTAAGTCTTAATATCTCTGAGACTTTGGAGAATCGTGATACTGTTCTAATGGCAATGTTAGCTTGACTTTGATAGAAAGTATGCAAAGTAGAAGGTTCTTGTTCTTTTGGATATGTCTAGAGACATTCCATGATGGTTTCCCATGTAAGTTGGTAAGAATATATTCCTTGCTCTTTCTCTTACTTTATCAAAATGTCAATTACTTTCCATTCTCGTATCAGTCCGGCTAATTTAGCATGCAATGAATCTAAAAAGAATAATGTTATTTAAGCCTAAAAATTTAATTTGTTATCCTAACGATGCAGCTTATATCACCCAAAATAGAAAGTCGGTTGATGATAGAATCCAAAATTCTATCATCAATGCTAAAGAGCACCTTCATCGTCCAACCCCACATAATTACACCTATTGATAAAAATACCCTCTTCTCAAATTGTTATCTATGCCGTAGAGAGAGACAGAGATGGGGTGGTTCATAAGAGAGAGAAGAGGAATAAGCTGGAGAGACCAGACCCTGGCCTCATTATCTCCACCTTTCATCCAACTTCTATCCTTCTGTGGTTTAGTGTTTCTTCTATTGTCGTTCTCAAGTTACTGTAACTACAAGGCACAAATGAAGCGAACCATGATTGGTCTCAGGTTATTTCTCTTCCTGCTGCCCGTAGTGTTGATTTTAATCATGCACATGGCGATGGCTAACAGTAACAGGTGGTTTCCGATTCGAGTCCCGAGACCAGCCTACGAGTGTATAAGTCGCGAAGGTGGGTCGCCTTGGGGTGTGGCGGCGGTGGTGGTGGTGCTTCTGGTTATGATCTATTTTCAGTCTTCTGTTCAAGCTGGGTGGTTTCGACCTATTTAGAGATCACACTAGTTCATCGCAAGCCATAATAATATAGCATTTGGCAAAAAGCAATAGATTGGGTATTGTATAATTGTTATAACTATGCATTATTATTTGTTAATGTGAAAGGAGTTTATTACACCAGCCTGAGATCTATGGACTTGACTTTTTATTTGTTACGATATCTTTAAAATTTATTATTTTGTGAATAATTACGTTTTTAAGTGTTTTTATTATTCTTATGGTGATTATTTTTATTATTTTTATTCGGTATAAAAAAAATTGCCATAGTCATGGTTTAGGTATCCTACATTTGACTTAATCGAGAAGGAAGAGATTAATCGAAATGCGCATAACTTAATTCGAAAATTCTTTGATCATTGAAAAAATTGCATGAATCTGACCTAAAGACAAAAAAAATTGCAATGGGGACAATGGTAAAGCATGGCCAATTTACCATAGAGTTTTTTTGGGGAAACAGGGTATGATAATTCTATAAGTGGAAAGGAGAATTAATAACGCTCCTGCTGTCGAAAATTTCATAACACGGCTTATGGGATTTAATGTAAATGTATATTGCAAATTGACGGGATGTTGATGGCCATCCAACTAAGAATTGACACATGGCCATCTACTGTAGTTAGAGCGCGTGGGATGGTCCCCTAGTAGCTGAGATTGAGCGTAGGATGCTTTAAGCCGAACCCGAACCCGAACCCGAACATAGAATGCTTGGTACAAGTCAAAATGTGTACTCGATCTATGCCAAGTATTAAATGGCAACGATATATAAACCTCAAGCAACGCGTTGATGTGAGTGAGTTTTGCACGTAACATAGTTGTTCAATCTTGTAGGCTGGTTGGTCTTCACCAGTTAGTAGAGAGTTTGCCTATAAAAAAGTGGTTCTTTCTTTGACTGACGTAATTGATTTGCCATTTGATTTACAATATTAATTGTAGTGAAATCTTTCTTTTATAATTGAATTTTTAATTAGTCACTTCTTTTTTTTTTTCTTTGCTTCTTCTTCTTCTTCTTCCTTTTAGATCAAAAATAAAAGAATTGAATAAATCAAAAATTCAAAAGAGGTTCACGGCCAAGGATAAAGATGTTCGAGAACTCTTCTGGTGTCTTTAGGGTCTCTCCCCCTATCTTTCCTACTGTATTTTGTAATGATTATGTGAACTCGCAATAATTTATGTATCACTCATAGTTAAGTCATTACAGAGTTTGCCTATAGGTTAAAAACTGTATTATTTAATTCCAATAAATTATATTGACAAGTCATCTAATTCACAAAAAACTCAAAACTAACTGTCAAAAGGACAAAGCACGACCCTTGTTGCAGGAGAGGAACCCTTATTGGGAGATTCTCGCAAAGATTCTGACATCTATTCATAAACGATCGACAGAAGGCTGCAAATATTGTGGTAGAACACTTGATGTTCGGGAGATGAAATAATAAATGCACAATCAATCTCAACATACAAATTCGGATGTTCAATTGTTTAACATTAACAAGGCATGATGGAATAACACTTATTACTCTCGATAGAGGATATCCACAAGCTATTAAGCCTAGGATTGGAGTTTGAATGGGTGTCCCCTTATTGCAATCAAATGTATAAATATCCCATGGAAATATAATGAAGCTATGCAAGAAAGAATAATTCTGCACTATAAACTCTCTCATTCTTAAGCAGCGACTGATATCAAAAGGGATAAGTCAGGTGTACCTTTAGCACTTTTTTTGATGTTGTTCCTTGTTTCAGGATCGATCATCGAACTCATCCTTGAAATTGTCATCTCGAACCATCGAGGAAATCACCCGTTCACAAACTAGACATATATATTTTTATAGCTCAAGGCAAAAGGATTTAGATACCAACTAAGACGGTCCACCAAAGACTTTTGATCAAAGTGGCACCAAAGGAATCGTTTATTGCCAAAAATACTGTAAACATTCCATATGATAAGGCAAACAAAGCACACAAAGGAGGTGAACACTCAAGCAAGAATCTCTTCTAGACCTTTGGGATTGATCTCCACCTTGGCTTTGTCCACCTCTTGCTGCTTCTCTTTGGCCAATTTCTTCATTCTGGCAATCTCAAGATCCTTGCTCATCTTCCTCTTGTACATTTCAGCAAACGTGATGGGCTCCTCCAGCACCGGCTTCTCCCCCTCCCTGATCTTGAGTGGGTAAACGATTGCGTCCGGGGCCGGGTTCTGGAAAGTGGCAATCGACAATCGGCTGCAATTGGAGTTTACCACTGCTTGGTGATCGGCATTTTTGAACCTCCCATTGCTTAGATACTGCCCAAATCATAAGCTGTCATGTTAAACCTAGTTTTATGACTGCAAATACCAATGAAGAGCTCATGGGCATTGAAAAGATGCAACCATGGATTAAAATTTTGTTTCGTTTAGAAAAAATCAACCGTAATATTGTGTTTTCGACAAAAACAATTATAAATTAGTCCATGAAAGGCAAAATTTCATGTTTCGAGAATTAGAATTTCAATGTTATAAAATATTTGAAGTTTTAAATTTCTTTGAGCCGCCCTTGAAAGAACATTAAAGCAGAAAACAAGTGTGAATTCTTAATTAGGCAAAGACTAACTGGAGCAATTACTTACATGGCCATGGTCACCCAAATTGACAACAAAGGCACCCTCCACAGGCTGAACAGTGATCCAGGTCTTGCCACCATCTCTAGTGGCCTGTAACCCACCAACTTGATCCTGGAGCAGCAGGGTGATGGTACCCGGATCCGTGTGACGCTTGAGTCCGAGAGTGAGGTCGGGTTGTGGACATTTCGGGTAGAAATTAACCACCACCTTCTGGTCCATATCAACACAAGCATTTGTAAGAGCCTCCTTCTCAAGCCCCATGGCCTCTGACAACACTTCTAACAACTTACAAGCCAGGCCCATCAACTTCTCACTGTAGGCCTCCGTCACTGCCCTCCAACTCTCGGGCTTGTCGGGCCACCTTGAGTAATCCCGGGCCCGAATTGGATATGAGAAGTAGGTGACTATCTCACGCCAGTCTTGCACTGCTTCACCCTGTTTGCATGACCAAATTAGCCGGAAAAAGTATAACTTTTTTTTTTTTGGTCGAGTTAGAAATGTTCGGACTTGTAGTTTAAGTGTATTTCGACTAATCTCCTTCCCAATCCAGTTAAATACAAGTCATTTACGCTGAAACAACGAAATTCATGAAAAATTCATAATCTATCCTTAAAAGATCATCAAGGTTCAAACCAGACAACTACCTCCGTTATCATTTAATACCCGGTAAGTTACCGGGGTTGAAAAAGTATAACAAAGGCTTGTTTGTTTGGTTCCAATACTAGATTGAATGATTATAAGTGATGGCAGAACATAATCAATTGTATACCTGGAGATGACTGGAGACGATGAAGCCACCCTTCTTGCCACCAGTCATATCAAAGCGAAGCTTCTCTTCAGCAGGCAATGCAAAGAACTCACGAGCGAGACGAGTCATACCAGAGATGAGATTTCCATCCACGCCATGATCGATCACTTGAAATATCCCCCAATCTTCACACGCGTCAACTATCTTCCGGCATATCTCTGATCGCCGGTCATCACTCCCATCAATTCCGGCCAGAGATATCACCGGAACTTCGTCGCTGAACACATTGTACGCCACCTTTGGGCGCTCATCTTCGTCCCTCACGAACTTTTCCTGTAGCGTCTCCTCTTCAGCCAGAGCTGCAAGTGTTGTAGGCGCCATGGCTACTTCTCTCTCTCTCCGTTGACAGATTTTATTGTTGAAGTGATGTGCATGAGAAACAAACTCGGCGGGATTTATATATAACGTGGCGACAGTTGAATGTGTGGAAGCTCAGCAACCATTCATGGAACCTACCACCTCCAGCGGCACATCAATCGTTCTACTAACTGCCAACATCAAGTCTACATCTTCGTAATTAAATCAAATTTATAGTTAAATTTAAATAACATCAAGTCTACATCTTCGTAGTTAATTCAAATTTAGAGTTAAATTTAAATTTAAATAAAAAAATTTTAAAAATTATTCCAACATTTGATTTAAACTTATACTAAATCGAGAGACTCATATTTATTCTTTTTTAAATTTGAGTTTATCTTCATTGAAATTTAAATTTTTTTTTTTAAATTTAATTTTTGTCACTTTATAACAAATTAAATTTTTTACTCAAATTTAGACCCGGTTTGATAAAATGATTAAGTGCTTAAAATTGAAGACTTTCGGCACTTATTGGATTAAGGGTGTTTGATAACACTCTGTTGTGCGTACTTAATTGATTAAGTTTCTCTTAAAATGGCACCAAAATTTTAAGTCAGCTCACACCTACTTAACGCTCATCACTGAATATAATAAGCGATAAAGCATTTTATAATATTTGTTGTAAGACTATTTTGCCCTCATTTTAATTCATCTCCATCTCATTGTCCGACTGACTGTGGAGCCGTATCTCTCTCCCCCCGCCTCTCTCTCTCTAAACTTTTATAGCCATGACGACGTCTCTTTTCTGCAACAAGTTGAGTATTTCTGAAATTGAGAGATAGAGAAAGTGTATTAGAGAGAATTTTTAAAATAATCAGATATGTGAATCTAGGACTTGTTTTGATCAAATCTAGGTTTTAAGGTATAACTAGTGGAATTTCACATTGAGAGAGATTGAATGCTGTGGGTAATGGTGTTGTTGGAATACTGGGATTCTTTGAAATACTGGGTCTTTGAAATACTGGGTAATGGTGTTGTTGGAATACTGGGATTCTTTGATAATTTAATGATCACAATTATTGTGCTTCTAAATTAGTTATCGATAACAATGCTAGCAATATTAAATAAACAAAACAAGAAAAAAATATCATTTATTTAATAGCTAAGAGTTATCAAAATAGTGTATCTGATATTTAATAGAAAGTGTTTATTACGTAATCATAATCATTATATATAAGTCTATACGAAAATGATAATGTGAACATAAAATTTTTTTTCAAAAATATACATATAAATAATTTTTTAAAAAAAATTGAAGGTGGGCCTGGCCCCGCATGGTTCTACTATTCATTAGGTGTAGGGTGGAGCCAAAAAATTATTTTTGGGTAAGAACCAAACATTTTAATAAGACTTTAATTTTTGTTCTTAAAATTTACAAAAATAATATAATACATTTAATTTTATGATTATGCTACATTTAATACTTCAAAATTTCCTTAAAGACAAAAATGCTAAAATTAGGTAAGCGTAGTGTATACAATTAAAACAAAATAAAAAATTAATTATAAGCCTTTTATTTATAAAAAATAAAAAATCGTGTCTTTTGAAAGCATTTAGCCTCAATGGATTTTCTCAATGTAGGCATTCAAAATCAAGCAACCAACAATATTCACAATTGATTAAGAATCAAACAATAAAATATTAAAAATGAAAAGAAAACATTATCGAAATATATTATTGCTATTGAATGAAGATATTTGCGACTTTAAAAATTAAGGAGACCCTTGGTGGGTTACGCTACAACTATACGAGGAATTTGAGAAATTTTTAAACATATTATTGTAATACCACCTTAACAAATAAAATAATTTTAAAGAGAAAAAAACTATACATGAGCTTGAACCAATAATAATAATTTAAATAAATAAATAAATAATAGACTGACCCAAAAAATGTGAATAAGTTAACAATTAATAAATAAAAAATGGACTCATTCATGGCCTTCACGTGTGAGCACCATTGGACCACGGGTGGGGACCATTAGTTAGTACCACAAAAATAACTTGAAGATTATAACCCATGGGTAATGACAAGAGAAAAGAATTTTTAGGGTGGGCCAGTGCCCCTTGTATTGACTCTGTTCATGATTACGTAATATCATCGTTGTAATAAATATTTTGTTATTAATTTAAAGAATTAATTTAATATAATTAAATTCTAATTTAATAATTACATTAAATTAAGTCTTTGATTAATTTTTCAAATTAGATACATATAATATTGCTCGTTCATGTAAATTACTAAAATTAGTGTTCGTTAAAGAGAGTTGCAACTTGCAACAATGGCTCATTAAAGCTTGCATTTATGGGGCCGTAAGGCAGAAGCAAGTCACGTGACTGCTGACCATTCTACATCATACACGCGCTTTGAATGACGGTCAAAGTATTCGCACGGTGGCGGAGGAAGGTATGAATGTTGTGGTAGGTCGCACACCTCAAGAACTACCGGCCAATTTCAATACTAATGATGTGTTTGCATGGGCGCCAAATCATGCAAGGCCAACCATTTATAGCCAACAAGAAGGTGCCACCTAGGGGTGTTCACGGGTACAATTATCTACTGATCTCGTTATTCGATTAAAAAAAAATAAAATCTGAAATTCGATAGACTTGATAATTCAAACCCACCTGCTCACCCAACCTGCCCATCATTCTTTTGAAAAAAAATTATACTTTTATACTATTAAATTTAAAACTTTAAAATACACCTCTCAAAGTCGTATTTTAAAATTTTAAAAATTTTGATCTTATAAATAATATATTATTTTTTTCTATGTACTAAGCATACCAGTTTTAAAGGGTAGAGTAATATAAATGATTGATAAATGAGTAGGTGTCACCCTAGTTGGAATTTATTTATTATATTAAATGTAGTTTATCCTCTAACAAAAAATAAAATATAAGTATTTTTTTGCCGTGGGGATAATTTTTTAGACTTATTTGAGGAAAAGTATTTAGATAAGTTCATTACTCTATTAAGTTTAATTTTAATAGAATATATTATGTTTAAGTACAAAATTCAATTGAAATCAAAATTATTTTACTTAAATATCCTCCCTTAAATTATGCATTCTCGATTGACAGGTATATATTTAATTAAATATGTAAAAATTTCATTAGACTCTCTCACTATCTTTCCCCTATTTTCTTTCTATATCTATCATTGATAATTTTTTTTTTCAAATATGTAATAATTCAATTTATGTTTTCATCTCTCTCCCCTATTTTCTCTCACTCCCCTTATTTTCTCTGACTATTTCTCTCTCTTCCTATTTTCTCTATCTTCTTCTATTTATTTCTATTTATTTCAACATTATACTAATCAATTATACAAATCGGTTACACTTGTCTTATAATACACCAAACAGTTACTCATGCAATCTAATAAACCACACAGTTACACCAAACAATTACACAAATTTATAACACTAACCCAATTTTTCATTCAGTTGTTTACATAAACTAAATAGTTACACTATTTACTATCGTGACATCATTACATCAATCATATATATCAAATTTAGTATGATGATAAAGTCTTTTGTGTAATGATAAACTCAATTTGGTATATATAATTGGTGTAACCATATCGTGATAGTAAATGTTGTAACTTTTTTATTTATGTAAATAACAAAATGACAAATTAGGTTGGTGTTATAATTTCGTATAATTGTATAGTGTAACTATTTAGTTTATTATAACACATAAGTAACTGTTTAGTGCATTATAAGGTTAGTGTAATTTTGTTGTGTAATGTTGATATAAGGAAAGAGAAAAAGGGAGAGAATAAAGAAGTAAGGGGAGAAGGAGAGAGAAATAGAGAGAGATGAAAAAATTAAATTAAATTTTTACATGTTTAAAAGAAATTATAAATATGAGAGAAATAGATAGAGAGAAAATAGAGAAGAGAGAGTGAAAGAGTAATAAAGAGAGAAAATGAGAGAGAGTAATAGAGTAAAAATACTTTTTTAGTCTTTTTTCAAAAAAATGTTTTTAGGCGCCAAATAAGTTTTCTTAAAGTAGTTTAACTAAAATAAATCTAAATTTTTATACCGACTTTCAAATTACCCAAAATATAAAAGCTAAGGTGTTTACCAAATAAGCTTTAAGAAAATAGTCTTAGTTTCTTTGGATTGAATGTTACCCATCTTTTTTCTCATAATTTCACCTATCTCACTACTATCCATATTCATAGCTCAGAGCCTAAATGATGTATTAATATATTTCTTCACTAACCAAACTCAACAGCATTTGCTTATTTTTTTTAAAATAGCATTCTATTTTTTTTTTTTATCAAGAAAAGTAGCTCTTTCATTTAAGTAGTGAAATTCAAATTACACTCACCTATCTCACTACTATCTATATTCATAGCTCAAAGCCTAAATCATGTATTAATATATTTCTTCACTAACCAACCTCAACAGCATTTGCTTATTTTTTTTTAAAATAGCATTCTATTTTTTTTTTCAATCAAGAAAAGTGGCTCTTTTATTTAAGTAGGGAAATTCAAATTACAATCGGTCAAAATAGAAACCTTTAACTCAAGTGGTGACTAGCTGATCTAATTCATTGTTGATATTTAATCCATCCAAAAGAGAGAGGGAAATGTTATTTGCACTTAAAATATAGATTTAAAAAGTGTACTTGATAATCACAATCATTGAATATATGATGGGTCCCAATAAATTCTGAGTGAAATCAATAATTGTGATTATCAAGTATACTCTTTCACAGCTAGTTGGATATTTTTATACAATAAGGTTTGAGCCGGTGAATTTAGTCCCTTGGATGACGTTAATTTTGATTGGGAATAAGAATCTCATTTTTAAATCCTAAATTATTATTTTTGGAGAGTCAATTATTCAGTAATTTAATTTGGGAATTAAATTAGAATAAGAATATTACCGTAATCAAATTCCCAATGATAGTGGGTATTCTAAATTTATGGTCATTTGTGATAATCTCATACTTATATTGATTGTGTATTCTATAAAAAGAATAAAGATTCGAAAACGAAGCTCCTCCATTTCAAAAATTAATTTATCTTTTCTAAAATTAAATTATTTCTTAAATAATTTGATAATTACATTAATTCTTACACTAGATTACTGACAACAACCAAACACTAAATATAAGATCACTATAGAAATTAAAACCCGGGCATCTTATTACTAAAAATGAAATATTCATTCTCAATTAACATTATTCCCAGTCAAATATGCTCGAGATTCAATAATGAAAACGATAATCATTAGCCTAACTGATAACTTGCATGTGAGGTGAATTTGAGTTACCTTACACATGGGGTCTTATTCGTACTATACTAACCTTTTTATATTTGGTCAATAATCTTCAAACAAATAAGATTGTTCTAGGCCAATACCACTATTTTACAATATCACATTGTCTTGCCTAAAATATACAAGACAATGGAACAAGAGAAGATAAGATCTACGTGAGTATAGTGTTATATTTTATTTATTTGATCAAAATATAGTGTATCATTGAATGATTATATAACGACTTTTTTTTTTTGGGTGAATAATGATAACACATATTAGCGATGATATAATATTAGTTTTATAATGATTACTATGATCTATTTAGTATGATTATTTTTTTTTTGTTTATGATTATTTATTCAAACTCAGCTTATATTAAAAAATGAACGAACTCGAGCGAGTAGAAAAATGAGCCGAGCTCGAGTTACCCATTTGGTTTAACAGCCTATGTTGCCAATATCGTCTACGTTTACTAGAACGTAGACTTCTCGAAAGAATCGCTCGTTAAAACAGGAAATAATGCTGTTTTTGGACATTATAAGATTAAGAAAGACAAGATATTCTTTTCGAAAATACAAATTAGTCGGAGATTTCCTAAACAGTCATCTGATTTTCCGAGATACCCTTACGTGCCGGTCATCTTCTCTTACCCTAACCCAGAAATTTACCACTATATCCAGTCAGTTATAATTTCTCAACCGGCTTTATCCGGTTTTCATCACTCACATATATATAGCTACACCAAGCACAAGTTCGCCTTCTTTCATTCATCCTTCTGTTTTATGCTGCTAAACTAGACAGCCATTGTCAATTCCAACCCCACCCTTCCAAGGTTTGTTGATGAACAGTTCCAGATATATATGGTGTTTATATACACACACACACACACTATATATATTTATATAATAGGATCCGGTGCACAAGACTCGTATGCAGCTTTACCCTATATGCGGAGAGATTGTTTTTGTGATTATTTTTGGATATTATAGTTTAAATCTGTAGTGCTGGTTTTATTTTAAGGCCATGAATTGGATAATAATCCTATGTTGTTTTGCTTATGTTGAAGTCTTCAAGGTTTTGGATTTTTTGTGTTCCAGTTATATTTAATGAACCCACTGGATTGCTTGAATTTGATGCACTTGTAAGCTTGAATTTGAGGCAGTTTGTTATGAAATATTCTATCCATATTATTTTTTTCGGTAACAATTACTATAGTTAATGTTTTCTGTCAATAACTAAAGATCATCCCAACGTTGTGCCATTTAGGCTCTAGTTACAACCGCAACTATGTGTTGGTGCAATCATTCGCAAATCGCGTAACTTGAACAAACTAGAGTTTTAGAAGCAAGCTTAGAACCTTTTAGTAATTTAAGAAGTATTTTAATTCGAGTTATTGTGATGGGTTTAAATGTTACTATTTGTATATATGATCATATCTTACTCCTTGTATTGCTGTTTTCTTTCATTAAATTTTACAATATCAACATGTCTACTACTACTATCGTAAACAAAACTGATATATACTCTCTTCTGATTTGATCAAATGCAGATCACTGGACTTTATCAACTGTTAAGAGTTCTTGAACACATAAGAAATGTGTCCCATCCTGGATGTATCTCAAAATGGAACTGTGAAACATCTTGAGACAGGCCCTCCATTGTTTGAAATTGGAGACTCTGATTTGTCAAGGTTATTAGACAGACCACGACCGTTAAACATAGAGAGGAATAGATCATTTGATGAGAGGTCCTTTGGTGAAATGTCAATGTCTTTATCACCACCACGCCATCTAATTTACAGAAATTCTGATAACATGTCGCGTGTTTTTGACCAAGTACTTGAGGGTGTGTATTCTCCTGGGAGAAGGTCTGCCTCCAACACTCCTCGATCAAGCAATTGCTTTGAGGTACACCCCATGGTAGCTGAAGCATGGGAGGCCTTAAGGCGTTCAATGGTTTACTTCCGTGGCAAACCAGTTGGGACGATTGCTGCGTTGGATCATTCTGGAGAAGAACTCAACTATGATCAGGTGAACTACTCTGTTTCATTGTTCTTGTTGGATGCTGATTGCTCCACATTTTGAGTATGTTTTTGTTCCATGTTTGTTTGTTTTTGCTAATGATAGGCAAATACAAAGAACCCTTGTTAAATTGTAAGCAATGTTGTATGATGGTGTTACAGTTCTTTATCTCATGGGCCTTCATTTGATCATCTAATTTTTGGCTTCTAATAGTCACTACTCTTTTGGGAGTAATGTTATTGGAACCGAAAATTTTGTCTATTGTCTTAATGTGTAGCGAATTGTATCATCTGACATCTAACGACCCGGCTCCTCCTCACCTCATGAAACTGTAGCACCTCCTCCCCTCGAAGGCCTATTGGCAGACTATTACATGACATGTCTCAATTAAAAAGTCTAAAAATTACGATTACAATAATGATAGAATTATATATTTCTAGTGGAAAAGAGTACGTTTTCGATTTTTAGTTCATAGTTCTAGAAAACTTGTAGTTCATTCTTTGAAATTTTTTGGCAGGTTTTTGTAAGGGACTTTATCCCAAGTGCATTGGCATTCTTAATGAATGGGGAACCAGAAATAGTGAAGAACTTTATTCTGAAAACCCTTCGCCTCCAATCACGTGAGAAGATGGTGGACGAATTCAAGCTAGGCAAAGGAGTACTGCCAGCAAGTTTCAAAGTACTTCACGATCCTGTGAGGAACTTTGAGACTATAATTGCTGATTTTGGTGAAAGTGCTATAGGCCGAGTTGCTCCTGTTGATTCTGGTTTCTGGTGGATCATATTACTTCGTGCATATACAAAGTCTACAGGGGACACTTCTTTGGCTGAAATGCCCGAATGCCAAAGGGGTATGCGTCTTATTCTGAACTTGTGTCTTTCTGAAGGCTTCGACACATTCCCTACCCTCCTCTGTGCTGATGGTTGCTGTATGATTGACCGTAGAATGGTAAAGTATCATGATAGCTTCTCTCTTTCTCTCTCCCTCTCTCTCTCTCAGATGTTTGTTCTTGACTCCTATCTGCTTTAAATGTCGGAGAAGCAAAATATGCGAGATTACAAACGTGAGAAGCAAAATATGTGAGATTACAAACGTAAATTGCTTGCGGCTAAACACGAATTGAGACGAAAGCTTTATAAACCTTTTGTAAAGATCCCAATCACGTCGCCTCAGGACACAAATAGCAGTCATTGTTGATAAGAAGGAAAAAGTCAAAAAAAGGGGTTGGGGGAAGAAAGGGCGGAGAGGAAGCTGGAAATGGGGACAAAGAAGAAGACGAAGAAAGATCAAACTCTTTTTTTGAATTCCAAGGATGAGGAAGATCCAATAAACTTACCTTATTATTAGAGAAAGGGAAAGGGGGGATAATCCATAAGGTCCAGTTCTCTAATGTTGATCAATAAACTAAGAGAAAGGTTAATGCATTATCATATCAACTCTAGACTTAGATTTTAGGCTTTGTAACTTTAAACAGAGCTCAGGGTAGCGGAATTACTCCAGTTTGCACTTTGTTTGTTTTTCCCGCTAACAAATCGTGTCATATTCGATTCATATCACATCGTGTCAAAATTTTTTCGACTTATATGATAATAATTTGTGTACTATTCAAGTTTATCGTGTATAAGTTATATTTAATCAGATTTATTTTTTTAAACGGATATTATTAGTCAACCCATTTATCACTTGAATCCATAAAAAACGATAATTTATCGGATTAGTGGGTCGTTTTATTGACATTTATATTTTTAACAGACAGCATTCTTCTCTCTATTCAGGGTGTGTATGGGTATCCAATTGAAATACAAGCTCTTTTCTTCATGGCCTTAAGATGTGCTTTGCTTCTACTCGACGATGAAGGAACAGAGTTTGCCGATCGAATAGCCAAACGCCTCCATGCTTTAAGCTATCACATGCGAAGTTACTTTTGGCTGGACATAAAACAACTCAACGATATATATCGTTACAAGACAGAAGAGTACTCTCACACTGCAGTGAACAAGTTCAATGTAATGCCGGACTCTCTTCCCGACTGGGTGTTTGATTTTATGCCAAGCCGAGGTGGTTATTTTATTGGGAATGTGAGTCCTGCGAGAATGGATTTTCGGTGGTTTTGTTTGGGTAATTGTGTGGCGATATTGTCGTCTTTGGCAACACCTGAGCAAGCTTCGGCAATCATGGATCTTATTGAGTCACGGTGGGAAGAATTGGTTGGAGAAATGCCACTCAAGATTTGCTATCCGGCCATGGAAAGTCATGAATGGAGGATAGTAACTGGCTGTGATCCAAAGAATACAAGCTGGAGTTATCACAATGGAGGGTCTTGGCCAGGTGAGCTTCTGCTAGCTGCAATTTTCCATCTTCTTTTCATCACTACACAAACGAGTCACAAAATTAATTGGTTATTGTTGATTAGTTCTAAACATGAAACCGAAATGGGCATAACTTGCTTCCACGAGTAATAAATGGGTCAACGCCACATGGGATTACCAGTTTATGATAAGTTCTCGATGGAACTTAAAAACGGCACGACTGACTATTATGAATAATAAACAACTCAAGTTAGTCTCGAACAGGAATAACCGAAAAAGCCAGACTCAAAACTGCTTGTAAATTCCGAGAAGGTTCATGTTTCTTTTGATTGTTGTGGATGCAGTGCTCCTATGGCTCCTCACAGCTGCATGTATCAAGACTGGACGACCCCAAATTGCAAGGCGTGCCATCGAACTTGCAGAGAGCCGTTTACTGAAAGACCATTGGCCTGAATACTATGACGGAAAGCTCGGCCGATATATGGGAAAGCAGGCCCGGAAGTTTCAGACATGGTCTGTAGCTGGTTACTTGGTGGCGAAGATGATGCTCGAAGACCCGTCACACTTAGGTATGATATCATTCGAGGACGACAAACAGATGAAGTCCCATATGAAAAGATCAGCTTCATGGATGTTTTGATGCCGTTTCATTTCTACCCTCGAACTTGCCAGATTCATCTTAGTATACGTTTTAGTCTGATAATGGTTTGTTTTGCGCAAACAATCCGTATTAACCCACTGTATCAGTTGCTGGCACCTAATAACCATGCTATTGGATTTTGGATGTTGATATAAATATGGTTTTCATCCTTCTTCTTTTAAGAGTTTTTTCAAAATCCCTTTCTAGCACCTTCTTTTTCGTTGATAATGGTTTTAGGTTTTGAATGGATGTTCCAATTGGGTGAATTCTTAAACCGATATGGATTCTTGCCCCAAAAGAAGAAAAAGGATCCGAAAACAGGCCACTTAATACAACGAAGAAACATAAGATTCTATTACACTGCCCTGTGCACGCAGACAGGGCAGGCGGAATGCTTATAAGAGCCTTCAAATCAAACCATTGTTAACATCACTCATCTAAGAGAGAAGGAAAAAGCATGAAGAGCAAGTGCAATCGGGTTTGTGCTTGCCATTGCTGCCAACAAGCCAGTATCCATGACATTTATGCGACGTTCAGTTTACAGAAAGATGATGAAAAAGAAACTCAGTTTTCAAAATGTAAAACTCGGCATTTTTTAATACAATTTCATCTGGTGAACTGTTCAAAATTAGATTATGAACAGAAAATACGCAAAATGTCACAAACTGAGACACAGTAGGTGAAATAGATAAGAAAGAAGCTCATTCCTATCATGGGTAGCATTGGCTGACAATGGGTCAGATAACCTAAGCACACAAACACTATGCCGCCATATAGATCTTCACTCCTGCTTTTCCAGTTCACCCATTCTCTCTATGATTGCCTGAAGGTAAAAAAATAAAAGCAGATTAACAGCCAATTTCCTAATGCGAATTTAATACAGAATATCCTATATCAGTAACACAGAAGACCTATAAGAAATATTGCAAAAGCTTATATGTTGTAGAAGTTTACACAATGAGAACCCAATCCCATGCTCCAACTCATGACACACTGAATAACTAGAATCATGAACTGAACAGCTAACACATGACTAATTTTGTGCCACCACTGTACTTCCGGAAGAAATAACAATAAGCTATGGCAAGACAAAATGAAGCTGCATATTGTTCTACACAATCAAGGGAAGCAAACACAAGCAGAGAAAATTTAAGGGGTTGGGGAACAATCCATACCTTCTTGCTTGTTTCTTGGAGCTCCCCGGCAAGAATGAACTCATCTAGTATCAGATATACCTTTTACAAAGCGACAGCCAATCAGAGCAACCCAGGGAAAAAATAAACAAAAAACAACAATAAGGGACAAGCAATCCAAGAACACACCAAACATAGTCTGACAAACAAAATCCAAGCACACTCTGATCAACAAAATCCAATTATTTTTTTACATACAACTTATGCTATTTCTTCTTTTGTGATCGGCAATAATATATAAACACCTTGGACCAAAAAAAAACATGAAATCTCATCAATAGCACCCCCAGGGTGGTAGTGCACTATACTTGGTTCCAACAGATATTATCCAGCTGCAATAAAAAAACATGCGATGTGACCACAACGTAGGACACTACTCAATAGATCATATTAAAGGATAAAGTTATTGATATTTTCCCCCAACAACATCATTTATGTACTGCAATGTGACCACCACACAGACACTAGTAAGTGAACACGAGAGGCAAACATTTTGTGAAACAAAGAAACAGGAGCAGAAGACAGACCATTTGTCAGAGTTTCTAATTCAAAAATGAAATGACATATATCCAATGCGAGCATGAATATCTGTTCTCTACAGAAGAATGACCCTCTACTTTTATTTGAATAATCTTCATCAAACGTATCTAGAACCCAGCTAAAGGCAATCAGGGAAATCAAGCACAATTTACCCAAAAGAAAATATTAGCTCTATTGCAAAATGTGTTGTAGTGAGAGTGCTGAACTGCTGATTCATACAAAGCTAAAGAAAGAAGCAGCAACAAAAAAAAAAAAAAAAAATTTTGCTACACCTACAGATGCACGTTGGATGATGAGCACAACACACCAATATATTACCACAAAAGTAGCTATTAAACGAAATCAACAAAAGTGACAAACCTTGTGAAAATTGAACACCAAATCTAGCTCACACACATTGCTGAAGAAATGATCCAAAATCTCCACGAATAAGTGGATGCACTCTAAATATGCTAACTCATTATCTGTTATATCAACGCAGAGAGAGAAAAATAATCCAGCATATCGCCTGTAGATAACCTTGTGTGTACGGAACTGCAAAAGCAAAACGAGCAAATATGTAAATAACTTTAAGACAAAAAACGAAATCTATCATGATATGATACTGGAGTGAAATTGAGCAGGAAAACCTAGAATATAATGAACCACAGAACTCAAGGCCAGAAATGAAATCCCAGTCGACAACAAAAGTTTAAAAGCTGTGCTTATTATCTCATGGAGAATATTAAGTACGAATAATTTCCCATTAAAAAAGACTTGAGGTTCTTTGGATTTGAATTAGTACATGCAGTTAAGCAATCATTATTTTTGACAAATTGAAATTGGATGCACATAGGGGTTTGAATTCTTCAAGAACTTAAAACATTCAGAACAATAATATGGCATTGTTTAGACCTTAATATGCATTCTAATCCAGCATTGTTCTTCTGAACGGATATTATTAATTACCCATGTGCCTGATGTTGCTGCCGCTCCCAAAGATGGTCTTAGCGAGGCAATAATATGCTTTTAATCCACACACTTACTGAAATTTGAAAAAGGACTGTCACAATTGTGAACATTGCAGTAGTAAAAATAGAGCAATGCAACAATTAGATTAGTTGTGAGTTCCAATGGTAGATAGAGTCACTTTCAATCCAACAGCTCTAATTGATTAGGTCCTTAGATTAATTCCCCAAATTCTGTCTAAATAACATTTTCCTTTTAAAATAACTACTACACATTAACTCAGTCTAACAAGACCTAGAATAAGAAAAAGAGATCATCATCCCAAATTGGCATTATCTAAGCATATGGCAATACAAACCTCAACGAAATTGGTGAACTTGGGATCTCTGTTTACAACCAACCGATGAACCTACACTCACAACCAAAGAATTATCCAATTCAAAAAGCCTAAAACCGAACGCCATTAAAGCAAAGCAAATAATCGAAAAGAAGAAGTTGAAAAAAGAGAAAGCCAGAAAAAAATGGAAAAATACCTCGTATTCAACCTTGTGTTTCTCGGATTCCTCGAGAGGGATGTAATACTTTGCGAGTCGAGTCTTCCCCTGCCTGTTTTGAAGCAATATGAAGCGGATCTACCATTTCAACACAAACAAGGAGACCGTAAGAGAATAAATTTTCAGTAATTTTCAGACTGTAAGCGGATCTCCCATCTTTCTCTCATTTTCTTTAACCAAATCGAAGACATTTATTGGCGAATCAGGAAGAGCGTAAACGAAATTTACCATTTTTCCAATATCGAAGTAGCAGGAGACAACAGAAATGCAATGATCAAAGAGTTGTTCGTTGGATTTTTTTGGCAGAGAGAGAGAGAGAGGGGTCAGAGCTGAAATGCGAAATTACTGACTAATGGTTCGTTGATTAATCAAACACTGGTACTCTTTTGGGCACGCTGTACTGCAACATTGCCGGAAAAATTTAAGATTTACTTTGACTTTAGTTTTAATTTAGTCCTTGAATTTTTAATTGTTTTTATTTAATCTCTTAATTATTAATTTTGTCTTAGTTAAGTTTTTTTGTTAATTTTTATTGTTAGATCAAATAAAAATATATTAGTTATTCTTCGTACCTGAAGACACGAAGTAATAAAAAAAATGGTTAACATATTTGTATTTACACCTAAAATCAAATAATAAACATAGAGGACATATAAAAAAATTTAAGCACCAATTGTAGTAGGAGGGAGCGTTGGTAATGGTGATGGTGGAACCGTGAGTGGCAATGGTGACACTGGTAATAAGTTTTGAGTGACGATGATGGTAGTGGCAGCCGTGGATGACAACGATAGTGTCGATGGTGGGTATGGGTGGTGGTGGTGGTGAGTTGTGATGATTGTGGTGGCAGGCGACAATATGTGCTTTTAGGCGACAGTGTGATGGGTGGTGGTAAATTACAGCAGTAATAAGTATGGTGGGAGTAGATGACAGTGGGTAACTACAATGGTGGGTGATGATAGATGAGGTGGTAGGTGTGGTGGGGTAGGTGATAGTGGCTAGTGGCGATGGTGGGGAACGATGGGTGGTGGTGGATGCTGACATTGGACAATGGTGTGGGACGATAGGTGATGGTGGGTGTTGACGGTAGGCGACAGTGGTACTGGGATGATGGTGGTAATGATAATAAATATAAAAATAATATGACAATGGTGGTAGATGATGACCATGAACGAAAATGGTAACAATTGGTGGTGGGTGGCGATGGGACAGTAAGGGTGGGGTAGGGGCGGAGGTGGGGCAGTGGCGAGGGTGGGGGTGGCAGTGGGGGTGGTAGTTGTGATGGTCAAGGGGGGTGGTGGTAGGGGTGGTAACGGTGATGGTGGGACAATAGCGGTGGTAGTAAGGAGTGACAACGATGGTGATGATGGTAGGGTGCGGTAGCAATGGTAGTTGGGTGGTGGTGGTGGTGGTGGTGGTGGTGGTAATGGTAGTGGGAGTGGGGGTAGTAATGGTATACAATGGTGGTAGTGGTGGGCGGTGGTGGTGGGGCAATGTAAGTGGTGATGGTAATGGCAACGACAATGGTGGTGGGGGTGGGGTGATGGGTATGGTAAGGTGGTAATAGTGATGGTGGTGGCAACGATAGTGACGATGGTGAGGTGGGGGGTGATGATAGTGGTGATGGGTAGTGGAGTGGTGGGAGGGGTGGTGGTGGTAGAAGTAGCGGTGGGCACGGTTTCAAACACTATTTTAAAAAAAAAAAATACTTATGAGAAATAATTTCTAAAAATACTTTAAAAATTCACTCCAAACACACCTTTAAGGTCCTATTTTTTCTATTAAATTTGTGGTGTTAATATTAACCGATAGATTAATTTTAAAATAAAATTTAAAACGATCTCAACCATAAATAACAAAGTCATTTTGTTTATCTTTTGAGATTTGAATTATATTTTACTTTATTATATAGATATTTAACAATAAAAATTGATTAGATCGAATTAATCTTTATTTGATCTAATGATAAAAATAGACTCATCGATTTAGTTGAGACGAAATTCATAATTAAAAATTGAAAGACTAAATTAAAACCTAAAGCAAAGTTTATGGATCAATTAAGATTTTTACCCTTTTTATTTTGTAGAGATTAGATTTTTCATATTTTATCCTTGAAGAATAAAAGTGTTATAACTTATAAAATAATCTTTTTCGTCAGTTTTCATTGTTTATTGTACCAAAAATTATCTCATTAACGTTGATGAGAATGAGTAACAAAAATTAATGAAATAATCGTATTTCAACATTTTTAATATATTGAATATGTAACACAAAAAATCTAATCTTCAAAAGTATAAAACAATTTTATTTTTTTTTAATTTCAAGGTACACNGGTGGTAGGGGTGGTAACGGTGATGGTGGGACAATAGCGGTGGTAGTAAGGAGTGACAACGATGGTGATGATGGTAGGGTGCGGTAGCAATGGTAGTTGGGTGGTGGTGGTGGTGGTGGTGGTGGTGGTAATGGTAGTGGGAGTGGGGGTAGTAATGGTATACAATGGTGGTAGTGGTGGGCGGTGGTGGTGGGGCAATGTAAGTGGTGATGGTAATGGCAACGACAATGGTGGTGGGGGTGGGGTGATGGGTATGGTAAGGTGGTAATAGTGATGGTGGTGGCAACGATAGTGACGATGGTGAGGTGGGGGGTGATGATAGTGGTGATGGGTAGTGGAGTGGTGGGAGGGGTGGTGGTGGTAGAAGTAGCGGTGGGCACGGTTTCAAACACTATTTTAAAAAAAAAAAATACTTATGAGAAATAATTTCTAAAAATACTTTAAAAATTCACTCCAAACACACCTTTAAGGTCCTATTTTTTCTATTAAATTTGTGGTGTTAATATTAACCGATAGATTAATTTTAAAATAAAATTTAAAACGATCTCAACCATAAATAACAAAGTCATTTTGTTTATCTTTTGAGATTTGAATTATATTTTACTTTATTATATAGATATTTAACAATAAAAATTGATTAGATCGAATTAATCTTTATTTGATCTAATGATAAAAATAGACTCATCGATTTAGTTGAGACGAAATTCATAATTAAAAATTGAAAGACTAAATTAAAACCTAAAGCAAAGTTTATGGATCAATTAAGATTTTTACCCTTTTTATTTTGTAGAGATTAGATTTTTCATATTTTATCCTTGAAGAATAAAAGTGTTATAACTTATAAAATAATCTTTTTCGTCAGTTTTCATTGTTTATTGTACCAAAAATTATCTCATTAACGTTGATGAGAATGAGTAACAAAAATTAATGAAATAATCGTATTTCAACATTTTTAATATATTGAATATGTAACACAAAAAATCTAATCTTCAAAAGTATAAAACAATTTTATTTTTTTTTAATTTCAAGGTACACAAAATACTATAAATGGTGCCCGTTTAGAACTCTACCTACTAGGAAGGCGCTCTTTGTTTGAGTAAAACAATCTCAAATCCAAAGTAGCTGGTAATAAAAACGAATTGTCAAATATATAATAAGTTGTGTTGTACAGATCCATAGAACGTACATGGTCAAAAATGCCAAATTTTAGAGGATGTAACACCCGAGTTTTGGACAAGAAGAAAAAAATAAAACAGATCTAAGAGTACAGCTTCCAATGAATCATATTACTTATGGTAAGTTATCTATGAAGACAAAAAATGGGGAAAAAAATGTATTAGAGGGATTTCCCACCCACACACTAGAACCAGTTGATACAGAAGGAGATGGTCCATCTCACAAATTACAAAGTATTCAGATACTGCTAATTTACAGAACTTTGAAGTTCATTCCTAAACTCACATTTCATTCACTTGATATCCTCTTTATTCCCAATCACTTGTTTCTGAATCCAAACTAAATTGCAAAATCCCATCTGCCATCCTTCACCCTAAGAAAAAAGAATTGCAAGGAACTATAAATTCTTTTATTCGTGATTCGGTCTCGGTTCTCACTTACAAATCATGGTCATACTTAGAGTTTGTAGCAGCCAAGAGTGCAGCCCCAATCCCAGACCCATCTTTTGAATGTTCTATGACTATGTTCTTTGATATTTCTGATCCCAGTAGTTCTGTGACAGCATCTTGGAGATATCTTCTGTACTGGGGGTAGTGTTCATACAAACCTCCGTCCATTGCCACCACCGTCCTCTTTCCAAAAATGGAACTTTCTGAATCCATCTTTTGGAGAATCCCAACAATTCCGGCCCCAGCCAATCGCCCACCACGTTTTGCAATAGTGTCACAAACCTCGATGACAATCTTCCTTGCACTCAAATCCGAGTTTACCTGATATAACAAATGGAAGTAAAGGTAGCTTGATATCATAGATTTCATGTATGCTTCAGCATAATCAGAATCACGAGCAACATTTGCCACCCCATGCATACATGACATCAATTTATCCCAGACTAATACATGGAATGACGCAAAATCATTCACACTCAACTCAAGAAAGCCTTATCCCAACTTTTTTGGGGGCGGAGAAATGAAAACACATAAATTATTCATGGTTTTTTAAATATCTTTTTAATTGCACACTGGGGAGGGGGGGGCAGATAGCATGCTTACTATTTGTTATATCAGTAGTATACAGTTCTAATTTGCTAAAGCATTGTGCTTCCAGATTGTCCAACCCCCTCCCCACGAACCCGAAAATTTGAATATTCTAGATCTTTTAAAGGATAATTTACTCAGCGTTCCTACTTCCTATCATAGTGGCACATATTCCAATAAATTTTACTTCGGTAATGGATGAGAACAGGACATTAAGGAAGGCTTGAAATGAGAAATTTACCCCGGCTGCATCATATAGGATTGATCCAACAGCTTCGAGATCTCTGGAATTATCCTGCTGCATGGCAGACATATCTGGGGTCCTACAAAATACAGTTAGAGTGGACTGAAGCTTGAATAGTAGTTTGTTTGCATAGGTCAACTGGATAAGTGAAAAAATGTTTTGAGGAATATTTTAAAACAATCTTACTGCCTCCAAGATGGACCTTCTGACAAGAATATAGGTATGCAAAACTAGGATTGATGAAAAATGACCATGGGAGAAATAGCAACACAAAGTGACTAGCTACCAAGGACTGCAACATTATGAATTCAAGAAATAGCAATCAAAGGTGATTCATGTGCTTCATCACAGGTATAAAGGCTGGCCTGGTGACCCAGTACAAATCTGGAACCAATTTGCAGGACAGACATGCTAAGGTGGCATTATTTGCATTAGAAAATATTCAATGTAATGGTGACACCACGTCCTCACCGTCACACGGTGTCACAATCCAACAAAAAATAACAAGTGAGAACAAGGATCCCCCATAATTTAGTAACCACCCCGCCAAATAATATAATAACTCCTCCGTGTATAGAAGTGGGGTTCACTTTGTCGATTTACTTGTGTCTTATTGGATAGTGACACCTCGTGACCATCACGTTGAATATTTACTCCACTTGCAGAGTGCAAATAGAATGCCAGCTCACTCACAAGACGGCCAGAAGCGATCTACTTAACTAATTTCCTCATCAGGTCTGTATGGTGAGTTTTCATGCCACCCACACAATCTATATGCTGAAAAGCTTCAAAAGGTCTAATTACCTGAGAACGAATGGTATGGATAACTTTTCGGGAACTGATTCTCCAAATAAAGCACCTGCTTCAGCCATCTTGAACAGCACTCGCCTTACAATTTCACCAAGGTACATGCCAGAGATAGTCTTCTCAAATATCTAGGCCCAGCATAGATAAGAAATTGGAAGTTTAATAGCTTTCACATCAGCAGTGTGATCAATACAAGTATTAACGCCATAGAGTTAAAGTTTACCTGCTCACCCGAGTTGATACTCTCAGCATCCATTTCTCTATCAAACTCGGTCAAAGGAAGACCATTTGAGAATGCTCCCCACTCCGTATTCACAATCTGAATCAAGTGATATCATTAAAGACTTAAAACTTCAACCCTTGGTTGGATATACCTCAATCCAATTAGTTAGGAATTTAACAAACCGTTCTTCCAGATGTAGATTTCTGGCCTTGTAGTTTAGGAATAGCATCTACACATTCTACATAGCAAGCATTCGTTCCGGTTCCCAGAATGACAGCAACCATGACATCATCATCCCAGTATCTGGCTCCAGCAAGTGTTCCCACTGTGTCATTAACCTAGCTTGATGACAGATCAGTCACCAAAAACAGAAAAATAAACAAAAACATAAAAGATACTGATCACATTTTCTGTAATGCATTTCCTCGAAGAGCGATGTTAGAAAGAACAAAGACATACCAGGGCAGACACCTGCATATCTAGTCTCTGCCTTTCCAAGGCTTCATTCAGACAAGCAACAACATCTTTTCCTGCCTGTAAAGAATTAGATGTCATTTAAAATCTTTACATTACGGGAAAAGAGTATAGTCCATAAATGTCAGAGAACTACGTTCATAAATTTCAGAGAACTATGTCTCGAAGCATGATGACATGTGGTTCTTATCCACTTCAGGAAGCCACAAATGTTAGTGGCATTGTTGTTACTCCTCCTAGGGGTTTAAAAAACAGCAAAAAAGGACTAATTGTAGCATCAAGACTGAAGGAATGAAATTAATATGTACCCTTCGTAGAAAATAGATTAGCAATGAGTTTAGTTTTGACACATAAAGCAGAAGGCTGAGTTCATGTGCCCAAATTAGATTTGTTGGCTGGCTAGAACTTCACACAAACACCCATTAATTTCAAACATGCTTTTCCCTCTGGACATGTATTGAACAACCCTTTGTACTCAAGAGTGTTCCATCCGTAAACCCATTAAATTACCTTTGATGAAAGTTTTCTTCAGATAATGGAAAATCAGTGGACAGTGTAGTTGTTACAAAATTGCATGAGAAGTTATTCAAAATTATAAATGTTATGATTTGACCAAGTCAATGAACATAAACCACAATCTTCCCACAGAAGATGTTTGCACTACCGAGACCTAGTATCCCAATACTTCAGATTTTATCCGGAAATTGTTTATATTTCCAGTGCATGCAGATTCTCACTATGTTTCTCCTCAAGTTTTCCATCCCATCTCATTTGACTAGCATTTCTACTCTGTTTCGATTATAATATCTCCTCTGTGATTCAAACAAATGTCTCAATGAGAAATATGCCTTTACAAGTAGTTCTGACATAATAGATGAAGAATACAATTGACTAGATGGAGGTAAGAACTATGACCTTTTTCTGACAATGGTTGTGGCTGCTAAGTCGAATTAGTGTGAACAAGTCTACTCTGCATGATTGTTGAATATAGAAACACTAACCGTTCCAGAGACTGCAAAACCCTTCGTCCACTTCATTAGAATGCCTGAAGCAATGGAAGTCTGCTTCACCGGAAAAGAAAACGTAAATCCAATTTCCCTTGTCCTTCCAGATGGCAGATGAAAATTTCCACCTTCCTTTTGTGCGAATTTTGCCAGACCAGAAGCAATGAAATCAAAAAGCTCCTACGAGTACCGCAATACATATCACTAGCCACAACAGATAAATATGGTGCAATGAAATGAGAATAAGCACTTTGTGAGAAGGAAAAAAAAAAGCACCTCTGAGGTGCCAAACATCAAATCTTGTGGGATTGACACTTGCTCAAATTCAGTGGCCACCACACGCTCAGCCTTCCCTCCTAGTTGCACTCTTAGCACTCTGAAGTTTGTGCCACCAAGGTCCAGTGCATAAAACAATCCTGTCTCATTCCTTGTAGAGCATAAGAACCAAATGAAGTCATTACAACAGGCAATTCTAAACAACACTGTCAATCCGATCCAAAATCAATACAGGAGTTGGTAAATTTGGATTTAATCTTAGTTGGTTCGGTTGATAAGTGGGTGAACCCACTAAATCCATCAAATTAATGGTTCCACATGAACTTAGACTAATACAACTTATACATGACAAGACATGAACCCGGCGCAGTGACAACAAACGTTACACGAAGCCAACTATGCACGATTACAATGGAATTGGTGTAGATTTAGCAAATTTTAATACCTTCCAGACTATTGACAACCTAAGTAGCCATAAAAAATGTCAACTTTGTGAATTGGGATGCAGTGCATAACATCTATGTTAGTCTTGTATGTACCCTTGTCTCTAAATTTTATTTTTTAACTAAATTGTATTGTTTTTCATCATTAACTCCATTAGTTCGCCTAAGTTTCAACAATTCATTACATAAAACAATTAGATCTTCTAAAAAGCCAACAACAAACTTTGCATAATTCAACTACAAGCAAACCACTAGAGTACTAAAAACGCCAAAAATTCACGAGAGAGAGAGGGAGGAACTTTGTAAAAATACCTAGTTGGCAAGGTATCAACATAGCTGAGAATTCAACTACAAGCAAACCACTAGAGTACTAAAAACGCCAAAAAAATCATGAGAGCGAGAGAGAGGAACTTTGTAAAAATACCCAGTTGGCAAGGAATCAACATAGCTGAGAATCATCTTGAGATCGCTACCACCATCAACGGCAAGCCCATCACGCATATCAGCAGCCATGGCGTCGGCTACATGGCGCAAGACAGGCAAAGGGGTGGCACAGTCCTTCTGCAACTTTGTCAAGATGGGTGCCACTGTTATCACATTAGATCTGACTGCCATCCTCGCCCGTGGTATAACCCTTCTTGAGGATCGTGAGAGAGAGAAAGATCGGACGGCCGGTGGACTTGCGGTGATCGACATTGTTGGTGGACGTTAAGATCAAGGAAGAGAGATGAAGCAGAGGAAAAAAGCACAATGATTGTGACGAGACAGTGAGCATATTTGTGAAACATTTAAGTCAGGTCAGCTCTCTCTTTATTTCTTGATTGGAAGGTTGAACAGTTAAGATCTTGAAATTTAGAATCTATTTTTCTTTTCCAACTGGTCGTTACCTACAGAGTTCATTTGGGTGAATTTTTATTTTTGTTTCGAATTGTTAGAGGTAGTGTTCAGACAAGAGAGTGGTTTTGGGCGGACAAGACGATGTTGACACAACAATAAAGGTGAAAAGGCTACGATATCGTAGTACGGCACTGAAAATTTTAATTTTTTGAAATTGTAAGTTATAATTTTTAGGGTTACTTTGTAAATTGATTCCCGAATTATTTTTTTTGAATCTCAATTTATATTCTTAAAAATCAAAAAATTTAATTTGTATTCTTAAAAATATAAATCTGCATTGATGTACACCTGAAGTTAAGAGCGGTCAAGTTATAATTTAAAATTAAATTAATAAATTATACCTAAGTCCCTTTAAATTTGTTACTTAATCACTAGACTCTCTTACATTTAAAATATTGCATTTACACCTCTGACTTTTGTGCGCATGTAACATCTCTTGTCGTCAATATCTGTTAAGAAATATAATATTATTCTAAAAAAAAATTATAATTTTCATATTACCCTTTATTTTGTGGGCACGTTGTAGTCTAAAATTTAAAATTAAGCTTACCTTTTAAATGTCCAATACAATATATATATATATATAATGTCCAAGAATCCTAATATTATTTAATATTCTTGAATTCTTAAGAGGTATAAGTATAATATTTCAAAAGTGACAGAATCCAAACAATTAATTAATAAACATGAGGGGGTTTAGATGTAATATATGCATCTAATTTTAGACGGCAAACTGGAGGCGTACATTAACACATATTTTTATCTTTGAGGGCTTAAATTAAGATTTTTTATCTTTGATGATACAAATTAAGATTCGAGACATCTTTTTGGGTGTAATTTGAGATTAACCATAATTTTTAATAGACATGATCGATTATAAGAGGTTGAGATCAATACTGAAATTATAATTTTTAAAAGTCAACTCATCACTCAAAAGGAAGAAATTACAATTATCTAAAAAAAAATTCATAATCTATCATGGATGTTTGTGATCGATTATTATCTTCCTTTAAATAACTAACTTATTCTTTCAAATGTATAATTTTATCATAAAAAATTATAATTAATAATAGGATGGGCATTTTTTTTTTTTTGGGGGGAGGGGTTACGGTAGAGTTCCCCACAATAAAGCGTCTCTGGTTAGCTAATGTTTGGTGGGTCCGGGGTCTTATGTCCTCTTATGACTCATTTGACTCCCATTTTTATGGGCATATTCTAACATTCGCTTGAGTGCCTCAATAAGACGTAGATGAAATAGATTGTGCTATTGTTTGACCAATTACCGGGATCGATAGGTCTCTCTCAATCGACAGATAATTATCAAGCACTTGTTTAAAATGAGGTTCACTGTCTTGTTTTAAGATTTTATTGGTTAAAAATAGTGAAGCCATACTGAACAAAGAAGAAAATACAAAAAACTAATAAAAAGTAAATTTTTTTATTAATTCAACAAAGGGACTTCGATTTAAAAAAAAAAAGACGTAATGAATTGTCTTGATTCCTAATGATGCCTACATTTGCGAGTCCTTTGGGGGTTAATAATGAGTGTTATCTCTTTCTTTATTGCCTATTTTATGATTATTTTTCTCTGACGGTTGAGCTTGTATCGACGATTACTCAATAGTAACCCTTAGTATATAACTTCATTTTGTTTAAACATGGTTATAATTGGTCATCTTTCCGCCTTATTTGTACTTTTGTCACGTGGCACTCCCTTAGTAAGTTTGGAAATATCGGGTGTCAATTCGTCGAATATCCTTGAATTTTTATATTTTGGACTAACCAGCTATATAGTCTTGAATATCCCCCAATCTTGAAATTATTTCCAATTGGGTTATGTGTTATTTTTAAACTATAGGGAGGTAATGTGCAAATAGAATAAAACAGAAGGGAGTAAAGTGGAAATTTCCCTTTTTATTTTGTGTCCCTTGCGCCTCTGTTTTTCTTTGGCTATTGATTGGGGTGTTTGATGTATTTGTGAAACATTTGTATGGTACCAAATGGATGATCAATGGATCAATGGTAATTTGATTGTATATATAGAGGTATATATTTTCAAAAAGCATAGAAAATTGAGTTATCATGCAATTCTTTTAATTTGAAAACTCATAGCGGTCAATTGCACCATTTTATTTTTGAAATTTTGCTATTTGAGCACTAGTGATGGTTTTATTGCAATGCTAATTTTACTCTTTCCACGATGTTTCAAAGTAATATAATCTAATTACGGCTGTTTCATTTGAGCCAACGCGTAAAAATTTTGGATTTCATGTTCCGAACCGATAAATTGCATAAGAATATTTCTTTGGCCGACTCTATCCAATTGAGGGTAATATTTCGAGCCGAATTTCATCCACAAAAAATCGGCTTGGAAGGTCGAGTAGGAATGCGGAATGTATCACAAGTTTTCAAACTTTAAAAGTTATTAATTTTTGGGTCATTTTAACAACTCAATTTTCAAAATTTTAGGCTATTTTTACAACTAGATTATTAAAATATAATATAAAGATATATAAACTAACATAATAAACTAATAAAACTAAAGAAACACACAATACATCTGATTAATATATTCTCTAATAGTCTGTCTTTGTTAGAATGTGTTATTCATGTGACTATATGACATAAAAAGATAAAAGAGCTCAATTGACATAATTAGAGAGTTTAAGAGCTTAATTAACATAAAAAAAAATTCAAAGACTTAATTAACACAAAGGTTATAGTTTGAGAGTTATATATATAATTTATTCGTACAATTTGTGTTACGTGAGTGACACATTTCACTGAGGTAGATACAATAGCTTAATAAATATAATTAGAGTTAAAATGACATAAGTAGTGTTTGATAAAATTGAAATCTAAATGTTGAATTTTAAGTGTTAAATGTTGAATTTTTTAATTCGCAAACTTTTTGGTATCAACTGAAATTTAAGTATTGAATTTAATTAAACTGTTTGACAACTATAAAAAGTTGAAGTTTGAAAATTATTATTATTCTAATTTTTTCATTCTCTTTTAATCATCTCTCCGCAACTGCTTTATTCATATCACTACTATCACAAATGGTGGTGATAATAGTGGCAGTAACAATGGTGGTGGCGACAATAATGATGATGGTGGTGGGTGACGATAATGATTATGATGGTGGTGACGGTGACATAATGGTAGCGATAACAATAGCAAAGGTGATGGTGATAATGATGGTGACGATAACACAATGATAGTGGTAATGGTAACGGCGACACAATAGTAGTAGTGGTGGTGGTGGTAATAATGACAGTGGTAGTGATAATGACAGCGGCACAATAAATGGTGGTGGATGCGGCGACAATGGTGGTGATGGCGATTACGCCGACACAATGGTGGTGGTGGTGACAAAGGTGGTGACGGTGGCACAATGGTGGTAATGGTAGTAATGGTTTCGGTGGTGGTGATAGTGTTGGTGGTAGTGGCGATGATACAATGGTGGTGATATTATATTTGTTCATTATGAGAAATTAATAAAATTAATTAACATTTTCAGCATTAAATAATAAGTAAATAATTTGCTATTTTAAAATTTTAGCTTATTTTTAAGAAGTGCTTAAAATATTAAATAGTATAAATTTTAAATTATCAAGTAAATTTAATTTATTAAAAAATATTTAAAGTAATCAGTTTTAAATATTAAGTTGTGCTACCGAGCATTCCCCTAATTGACATAAAAAATATTAAGAACTTAATTATGACGAGGGTATGATTACGTGTAGTTTACTCTATAAATTAATACTTATTGTTCACCGCCAGTCTCTCTCCAAATTTTTAGTTTGTCTTGCCTCCAAACACACATACACGTACATTCTCTCTCTTTCGGTCTCTCTACGATTCCCTCCAACGCAAGCACGCTCGCGCACTATATTCATTCAATCTCTCTGATTATATGGCCTCCGGCGCTCGCTCTCGATTTCAGTTACAGGCAGAGACTCCGCCCTCCTCTGCTCCTCCTCCACACGTTTCTTTCGATTATCGAATAACAGATCTTTTCGCCTTCATTCCTCTCGCCGACTATAACAACTCCCACACTCGTACGGGCTCTCTCACTGCCCCTCCTAATTCTCAGGGCGCCTTTTTGAAGATTCCGGTAAGTTTCCATACTGATCGATCTATATATATGTGTGTGTGTGTGTTTTTATCTGTGTATATGTATCAAGATATTTGGTTACTTTTCAAGATTCCGGTAAGTTTCCATCCGACGACACCACTTCATTATAAGTACTGATTGATATGTGTGTGTTTCTATCTGTGTATATGTATCAGGATATTTGGTTACTTAGGAAGTTTGCATGTAGGTTTTGTGTCCAGTAATTGAGGGAGTTGTATCAAACAGTTAGATGAATTTCAGATATATATGCTTGACTTTCGGATTATCTGTGTTGGAGCATTCTTTATCAGATTGCTCTTTTTTTATTTCTTGTATGATTTTGGAGGGTTATTCTACAATCAGGGAATATAATGCTATTTTCTACTACCTAAAAAAATGAATTAAATTAATTTGTAGACATGGTGATGTCTTAGGTGAGAGTTCTTATAATAAAAAACTTTTACAGTTAATAGACCTAGGGATGTTTTTAGTGATAGAGTCCCAATGTAAAACTTTAATAGTTACAATTATCACCATGTTATCATGACTTCATTAAGTCAAAAAATTAGGTTATTAGGTCCTAACAATTAGGTTTCTTAAACCTAAGGCAAATTAAGAGTTACACTCCCCTTTCATATATAAGGGTCTATTTAGTTAGGAAAAAAATAATAATGAAAAATAAAAATAATAGAAAGTGAAGTAAAAGAAAAGAAAATGAAAAAAAATTTCATGCATGTATTTGTTCAACATGCGTGAAAAAGTTTTAAATTTTTTTTTATTTTATTGTTTAAAAGAAATGAAATTTATAAGAAAATTTATCCAATTTCTAAATTATCCTTTATTATATTAAATTGGTTTAAAGAATAAAAAAATACGTATTATAATTGAAAGTCAATTTTTTTTTAAAAAGTGGCTTGTAGTCTAATTATGGAACAACCAGCACAATGGTCTTTGGATTAAATTATATAGTTAATTAAATTTATACCAAGTTTTTTAAAAATTAATAACCAATAAAATATTTTATGAAAAATAAGGATAAAATGAGAAGTTAGTTATATATCACAATTTTCTTATATTTTTTTTTGTGTTTTTTACTAGAAAAAATAGTTGGTTAGTTAGTTGTGAAAAAATCCAAGTATGGAATAAAATTATTTTTTCATTATTTTTTATTTTATGCTAACTAAACTCATGAAATTTTTTTAAAAAAATTCTATTTCTTGTATTTTCTACAATTATCATGCTAAACAAACGGATTCTAAGAAAAATATGAAATCTATTTGAATTGATAAAATCACTAAATTTGACAAGAAATATATTATGGAATATAAGGTAAATTAACAAATTTTAACGAAAATTTTTAGTGAGTTAAAAAAAGATTAATCCCTCGATAATAAAAAAACCCTTCACTTTTCATTACTTTTATTTTTCTCTCTAGACCAAAAATTATGTTTTATATGTCTCTCCAATTATTTATTATTCCACTTTTCTATCGTATCAAAGTGACCACTAAATTGTATTAGAAAATCGGACGGAGGTGGTGCGAGGGAAAAGAGATTTGAGAGAAAGCTAGAGACAATTGCTACATTTATAAGGTAATAAGTTTTAATAAGGTTAATAAGTGGGGGAGTTATTTTTAGCTCTTTCTAAAAAGTTCCACAAATAATACCTGGGAACGACATTGGGCCACTGGGCCTCAAAATATGACACAGAAACAATAGGTTGGAAATTGAATACGGCCCAATGAATTTTGAAAGCCCTAGCGGCCCTATTTAATGGCCTAGGCCGGCCCTGCTGGGTCTCTCCCTCACCCAATCTTTTTGTGTTGTCTCTTGGCTCCACACACACTCTTTCTCTCTCTCTACGATTTCCCTCCAACTCAAGCACGCGCGCACACAATATTTATTCAATCTCTGTGATGGTGACCTCCGGCGAAGATTTAAAGCGCGCAATCTCTCGACTTCAGTTACACTGCGAGACTCAGTCCTCTTCTACTCCTTCACTCGTTTCTTCCAGTTATGGAAGAACAAATCCTTTCGCCTTCATTCCTCTGTCTCATGACTACTACAACTCCGACGCTCGTGCCTACTTTCTCGCTGGCAATGCTAACACCTATTCTGTCTCTCTCAAGGTTCCGGTGAGTTTCCACCCGACATCGCTTGATTACCTGATTCATATACATACACGTGTGTGTAATGTGTTTGCCTGGCTGTTTAGCTTTGTATATATGTGGATATATGGTTACTTAGGAAGTTTGTATGCAGATTTTTTACGAATTTTTCGAAATCTGAGTCTATTATTTTTTGGGTTTTTTTTTATCTACCGGTCGGAGTGCTCTTTTTTCATGTATGATTTTGGAGTTAATTTATGGTTCTGCAGTCAGAGGAATCAATGCAATGAGTAGAGCTTTAAATGCTTCGTGATTAGTTTTTTCCTTAGGTTCCTATGTGCTTCTGGATGTCGTTGGTTGAATGTTGGTTACTATGTTTTTTTAGATTTCCTTAACCATGTTACCAGTCAAATTCGGTGATTTTAGGAAGTCAGATGGAGCTGATATTTTTCTTATATATGGAACAGGCGTGTAATTCTGAATAGGGGTGTTAATGGAGCTGAGCTTTATGAGCTTGGTACGAACTTGTCGATGAGTAAAAAATTGTTCAATCTTAGCTTATTTAGAAAATGAGTTGAGTTTGACTAACTCGACTTTTTTTCGGGCCAAACTTTGTGTTTTCGAATTGAGCCTAAAATATTGTTCAAACTCAACTCATTTAAAACACGAGTCGAGGTCGAGCCGAACCCGACTAACTCATCTCGATTAACACTCCTAATTCTGAACATGTCCTAGTGATTTAGGTCTTAGATGTGTGCATGCACGCGGACACAGCCTTTTCACATTGTTGTGGTTCAGCATTTGCTGCATATATTGTTTCTTTTTCTTCCAATCATTTGTAAAATACAATTAAATGCATTTATGATTCACAAATTTTTTAGCTTATAATCAATTAACGCAGGTGAAGACAGCTGTTTCGGTCAGATGCTGTTGATATGATCGTTTCTTGCGTAGACATAATATATTTACATAAAAAATGATCAGCATTTGGTTTTATAGCTAAAGGTGGACAACAAAATTATGTGGTGAATACTGAATTGATGCTGAATTTGAGCTGGTGGGTAATCTCTGGTGAATTATCAATACAAGGAGCCACACATTTATCTGACTGTTATGGTACTTGGTTTCAGAAAATCGACTGAGTTTAATACGACTTGGCCGCATTTAACCCAACTCAACATGTACCATTCGATACTGTTCGATGCCTTGTGTGTTTTGTGTAAGCCACACTAACGCAATTTGGTGGAGTCATTTGAGACGTCTCTGATCAACTAAGAGCTCGAGTCATCACCGTCAAATCAGCAAATATCATACCGTGACGTCTCGATATGGCTTTAATCTCTAGCCATGTTCAACTTCTTCTATTTAGGATTTCGTGTGTATCCCCTATTAACATTCTAGAGTTTCATGATTGCTGTGTCTCAGTGCCATTTAAGTCAAATGCGGAGACTGCAATCATAAACCATGTTATAATATGTTGAGTAGGGACACACCAAACAAGTTAATCTGCTCTGTCAACGTTAATTTTGAGGATGAACACTCTAAAGTTGAAAGCTTGGTGGTAATCTTCATGTAGTCTAATAGAAGCATGGCAGAATCTGATTTGGTAGTTGATCAGCAACGAAGTAGAATTAGAATGCGGTTGAATTAAGAAGGTATACCTTTAGGAAAAAATTAAAACCATAATTTTCCTGGTGATCTTCTGCTTTCCATATGGGAGGCTTTAGGATTTTAGAATAGGAAAATTGTTTGGCATGGAGGGATTTCCGTATTATTTACTTGATTTTTTCGGTAAGTATCATAATTTACCGTATTTTCCCATGATTATAGTGTGCAAGCAGAGATGCACTAATGAAGCACACTTCCATCCCATGTATTAGTAATTTTTGGGTGATCAGGATAGCTGATTCGATTTGGTATATGTATTTCAATACATGCACAATACAAGGTTCTGACGTTGCACCTCTATGACATACTTATCGTATATGATTTTCTTCCATTTTGAAGCAAACAAATGAAACTGGTAATTGCAAGGCTAGCATCGGTGGAAATGCAACTATTCAAGGACCTAGGATAGATGAAACAGTCCATAGTCCTCCACGTGGACCAACCAGTTGCACAGTGAGTGCAAGATTCAGTAAATCAAAGGTTTCAAGACGTACCAAATTTGGAACTCAAGCATCAGATGCAAGTAATATCTTGCCACTCAATTTGTACGATATTGCATCTACTTCTCCACTGAATCATTTGTTAGGGAAATTAATTTTCTCTTGATTGATTGCTTTCATGCAGAGTCTCCTGATAGCCTGAATCAAGCCAATGGCTGTCGTTATGACAGTTCTTTAGGTGAGCCTATTTTACAGTGTATTTTAGTGTTCTGTGTTAGGATGCTTGCGTATAACATGGATAGATATGTTGGTTTACTGCTTGATAAAAAATTTAATGATTGCTTTATAGGATTTATGATAAGGGATTTGATATGTTGTTGGCAGGCTTGTTAACGAAGAAATTTATTAGTTTGATCCTGCAGACTAAGGATGGCATCCTTGACCTAAACAAGACAGCTTATATTTTGGAGGTATGCTTCTCTTAATCCCCCATTTAAACCATATTTGTTGGTGCTTTTTGAAAAATATTTGAGTTCCAAAGAATTGAATGGCATCATTATTCTGATGCAAGTGAGAAGGGATCAAACATTCTGCAGTATTTAGAGTCAATAGGCAATTCTCTAGTGTGTGTGTAGAACTTTTTCTACGGGGATGCATTTAGCATGATCTTCCTTTAGATTTGGTACATATAGATTTCTTTATAAATTCTTATTGAGTTTGTTCTGTGTTATGTTTTGTATTTGATCTTTTACTTCTGTTGTTTGTTCAACAGGTGCAAAAGAGGAGAATTTATGATATTACAAATGTTCTTGAAGGAATAGGATTGATAGAGAAAACTACAAAGAACCATATACGCTGGACGTAATGTTTTTCATCCTTAGATTTTGGATACTTTCTTGCTTTTTTATTATTTTCTGCTAAATAGTGATATGCTCAAACAGGGGATGTGATATGTTAACACCAGAGAAGCAGGATTATCAAGTTACTGGATTGAAGGTAAATATGAAATATTACAAATAATGACTGGGCAGACGTGTGGTCCTCATAATTTTATCTTCATTTGGTAGATGTCATAGTGATGGAAAGAAATTTCCACTTAATTTTGGCACAATATACATGCTTGACAATTTCTATTATCGTGACAGCAAAATTTCAAAAGATTAAAACATTTCCATGTTTATGGTGGCAAAATGGCTTGGGCTAGTGCTAACTTGACTAAAACCTGTCGATACTGCATTGGACTACACCCTCATATCCTAGTCCTGAATTTTTCCAGACTGGAAGTAATTAAAGGCTTAGACGATTAGGAGTATGAGAAGGATTTGTGTTGTAAGGGATGGTAGCATGTATTGCTTTCTGTTTTACTAACGGAATGATACTTGGTTAACTTGTACTGTACTAGAAATGCTTAGGTACATTGTTTTTTGACAAATATTCTGAATCAGTGAGTTCACAAATGCTACATGGAATAGAGCCAATCAGGTGCTGAGGCTATATACAGTCTAAAGCGTGTAATTATGGATGCGCTTCGTGTGAAGTAAATGGTAGTAAGACATCTGTGGGAAAATGCATCAAGGGTTGGTATCCATTCTAAAAATTAGGTTGAGGCCCTTGGGGGTTCACTCATTCAAAGCCTGCTACCTTTTTCCAACCCTAAGGGTAATAGGGCTTCTTTAAAACACTTGATATAATGTGTTTTAGTTGGATGCTTTAAGAGGCCTAGATATTCATTGTTACCGAAACCTTTAGCTTTTTACCAAAATATGTGATTCTAAATTTGGTTAATGGAACAGATGCAGTACATAAATTGATCTGTTCTGATACTTTCATTTGCTCACGCCTTTTCATTTCATGACAGGCCGAAGTTGAAAGTTTATATGCTCAAGAATGCAAGCTTGATAATTGTATAAGGTTTGGTTGAGAGTGAGATATCAGAGAGGTATTTTGTTTTTGTAGCTGAACTGTGCACACTTTCAAACTAACATCCACTCTTTTCTTCAGGGAAAAACTAGAGCTTCTTAGGGCCCTGGAACGGGATGAAAATAATAGAAGGTATAATCTGTTTTCTCCTGATGTTTCTACTCGTATCCCAAAGTGCGAGCATTTGTTCCCTCTTGACATTCTGTTTCATTGTCTCAGGCACCTCTTTTTGACAGAGAAAGATATTATGAGCCTTCCATGTTTCCAGGTTCGTTTGTCATTATTTTCTAGTTTATATTTATGTTGACTTGTGTTCCCTATCTAATGCTCCCTTTGAATTCTACCTCTCGATGCTCTACTGTTTTCACAGGATCAAACTGTGATTGCAATAAAAGCTCCACATGCTAGTTCTGTTGAAGTTCATGACCTTGATGAGGTGGGTAGTGTGAAAATGTTTTCTGATTGGTTATATACAACTCAACTCAACAACCTTTATGCCAACTATTTGGGTCAGCTACATAAATTTTGTTTATCCATCGTGTTATATCAAGGGTTTCCTTAAACCGTGAGAGATCAGATTCTTTTTTACTATTTTGTTCAAAATTACTTTCGGTCTATTTTTACCTGTTACATTGTCATCCATATGTAGCAAATCACACTTGCTCACTTGTTCTGATTGGTAATGTAGGACCTGGATCTATTTGTCCCACTAAGGCGGTATAGATTTACCATTAGAAGCTCTGTAGGGCCAATCGATTCGTATATCTTGAGGTATTTCTTTCTTAATGACACATGCACACATATACTAAACAATCTCTCTCCCTCTTTCTCACTCTCTCTCCCACAAACACCCCCACACCCACACCCACACCCACAAACACCCCACACCCACAGGTGTGATTCAGTCACATGATCTTTGCCCAAAAATGCAAAAATCGGAATCGTATATACTCTTCATTCCCTAACAGCTATATTCATGAGGTTTGCAGCAAACATAAAGGGCAACTAAAGGTGAAACTCCCGGATTCATCAGCTTGTAATGGTGGCAGAAACAGGTTCGACAGCACAGATATGTCTTCACATCACCAAGACATGCGGATGCATTCTGATACTTCCAACACAATGGGCTCCAAAGTATCAGGAATTCAGAAAATAATCCCACCAGACAATGGGGTAAATCCAACTTTTCGCTTCAGAATAACTAATTACTAGTTTCTTATGACCATGCTGTTCCACATTACAATATAAACTTGTCGTGCCTTCTCTCTGCAGATTGATGCAGACTATTGGTTCCAAACGGATTTTGAGGTCAGCAATACTGATTTATGGGGTGTGGAACAGTCGTAGCTTCCGATCAATGAGTTCTGATTCTTGACATACAATAAAAACTAATAGACAACCTAATATTTAATAACAAAACCTGTATATATAATTTTACCATTGATTATTTTGATACAACAAACAAAGAGATGAAGCCAAATAGATGGTATGAACAGTGCGTTATATTAGACCAGACACCAGAATTATCTGTGTGGATTGGTGAACTAACGTCATATTTACCGATCTCAATTGTACATTTTAGATAGATAATTAATTTTATTTATCAAGTTACTAATGAAACATTTAGGTTTATCTTTAAACTAAGATAACGAAGAGGTTGATATCTAAATGCTATGATGTTATCGGTGTTTATGGCCCACTAGTAGACGTTGGAAAGATCATTTATGTTGGGAGTTAAATCTTGGTGTTCGGCCCATGGCCCACCGGATGCTCTGAAATTCAATGGTCGACTTGGCTGGGTCATTGAATAGTCAACGGGACCGTTAACCAATGGGCATGGGTGGGCCCCCACCTAGGTGTGTTCGAGTGTTTATCCGGATGAGTTATCGGGTGGGTTGAGTCAGGTTTTAGGTAGAGATAAAGTCGGTACACCTAATTAAATTTATTTGACAAAAAATACATAGAATAAAATATTTTGGAAAAAAGTATACAGCTGAGTTACAAAATCATAAATGTCTATTTTAGGGTTATTTAATTCAAAATTTTTTATTTTTAATGCACTTTGATTTTTGTGTGTATGTTAATATATATAAATACGTATTTAATTCACCTTGATTCATGTGTATATGTTACTCCCTCCGTTCTTAAATATTTGTTGTTTAAGGTTTTTGCACAGAGATTAAAGAGGTTATTAAATAACTCTAATATGACTAAAAAATAATTATACAAGATTAAAATACTCTTATTCAATACGTTTTGGGAAAGAAAGGAATATGAAAGATACTTAGTTTTTATTTAATTTAATGCATTGAAAAGTTAAGGGTAAATTTGGAAGAAAAAATATTAATTATGCTTTGGTTTCATTAAATGATAGATATTATGGAATAAAAAAAATTGTGTAAAAAGACAGATATTTAAAAACAGAGGAAGTAATATATATATATATATATATATATATATATATATATATACTTGTTATTAAATCTTTTATTTAAATTTTGAATTATTTTTAATACACCTTGATTCATGCGTATTTTTTTTTTTTGGAAAGTGATTTTGTTTTCAAATTATATTTAATGCACCTTGATTCAAATGTTTTTTTTTTTTGGAAAATAATTTTATTTTAAAATTAATTTAATATTTGAATAATGTAATAGTATAACAATAATAGTGTAACAAATACATTGTAACGAAGACAGTGTAACAAAAATACTATAACAAAAACAGTGTTCAGTAGTTTTGTGTATGTGGTAACAAATTCAAAACGGAGGGACAATTTTGAATGAAATTATATGAAACTATATGTTTGACAAAATATAATAGTACAAAATTTTATGTAAATAACTTGTTACACTGTTATTGTTATACTGTTACACTTTTATTGTTACACTGTTATTATTACACTATTACACTATTCAGGTATTAAATTAATTTGAAAATAAAACTACTTTAAAAAAAAATGCATGAATCAAGGTGCATTAAAGATAATTCAAAATTTAAATAAGAGATTTAACAGCAAGCATATATATATATATATATATATACAAATTTTAAAATTTAAACAAGTATATATATACGTATTTATATATTTATATATATGTATATATATACATAAAAACGTGTATGTATAATATCTATATAATAAAATAGAAATGTGTTTGAATTTTATCTCAGTCATATTTTCTCCCTCAAAATCATCATCAATCACTTATCTCACCCATCATCTTTTGTCATACTCAAATGTCAAATCAAATCATTTATTTTTATCATATATTTAATCATTTATATATTTCTTTCCTAAAAACATCACGTCATAAATTTATATCATTTATTTAATCATTTAATATTGGATTAATTTGTAATTAATATATTACTAGGAGATGTTTAATGCAATACTTTTCAAAGAAAAGTGGTGTATTAAATACAGATAGATTAATAGAGGACAAAAATATCACAAAAAAATCAGTAAAATTCAAATAATGTATTTAAATACAAATAAGTATTAAAATTAAGGACTTAGTTACCTAACATTTTTTTGTATGTATTTTTTTCACAATTAAGTCTAATTGAGTGTACTTTCATCCAATTTTTCCTAAACTATTTGTTGTCTAACTTGCCACTTATGGAATGGGCTTTGCAGATGCGTATGTTTGGAGGGTTTAATATATATATATAATTTTATTTAAAAAAATTTTAGCTTAATATTTTTGTAAATTATATTTTTGAATTAAAAGTATATTTAAAATAGACAAAAAATAAATAATGAACAATTTTATTTATAAATAGGAGAGAAATCTATTTTTTTTTTTAGAGGGGTAAATTGTCATTAAACTTTTAAAGTTTTAATGGTCAATATTTTTCCAACAAATTGGGTGAAAGGGTAGATGGGCTAGGCAGGCTCTTGGGCTGGGTTCTGGGGCAAATAATGTGTTTGTGGACAAGCTCAAACCTTTTCTTGAAAAATATTAGACTTGGGTTTGGATGGGTCAATTATTGGCCCTATCAAATTTTAAGCCTATTTTTTGGGCCAAGTAATAGGACCCATGGACACCCCTTACCCCAACCCAACCCAACCCAGCCATGCCTGATACCTGATGCCTATTCCTTTTGGGGTTGTTTGTTTCAAGTATAAGATTTAAGTGGTATAAAATTATATATGTATTCCACTCCAATTCAATAGTATATTATACTTAATTTTAAATTATAATTTCATCATTTCTCTTGTTTGTTTGTCACAAACATTATCTGTGTAATACCTATTTAAAAAAGTCAACAATTGCGACTAACCAATGTAAAAAGACAATTTTAATCTTAAAAAGTCAAAAATTGTAACTAGGCTTTTATATAGGTATTGTACTTGAGGGCATTTCGATCTTTTTAGTTTATTATACCTCCATTCATTTATACCAAGAATATTATACTACCGGGTAGGTGGTATTGAATAGCACCGTGTAGAAGACATTAGTGTTATTGTTTACACCGGGTCGGTATTATGACCCGAAAATTAGTATCTAGTGAAAAATGCCAAACAAACAAAGTTTAAGATAGGCTCCACGTACTATTTTCCTTATACTTCAAACAAACTAGCCCTCAGTGTACACGTCGAAACATGGTTACATCATAGCTCTGACAAAAAGCTTTAGTAGCCAATAGGGGGTGCAATTCGGACGGATTGAGTGAGTTGGACAACCAACTCTAAACCAACCATAAGTATATAATCTTCAATTCTAACTTTAATCCTAACCCTACCCCGGGTTAAGGAACTTAACCCGAGCACTGTCTGAGTTTAATTTGGGCGGGCTCGGGTTGAATTCGGATTAATAATTTTGGACTGATTTCGGGTTACTTTATAGATTCAATTTGGATTGAGTTCGGGTTAAACTCGTGAACTCGAAGCCTTAACTCGAACGTAACCCAAATTGAATTCGGGTTGGGGGTTTTTGATTTAAGTCCAACCCAAGTATTAAAAATCTTTATCCAAATCCTAATTTTTTCGGGTCGGACCGGGTTGTCCAACCCAAGTTGCACCCCTAATAGCCAAAACCATGCTCTCACTGTCGTTGGCAATTTGTCAAACTCCTGAACAATATTAACTAAGGCATGGCACCCTATAGCCATGCATAAGCACCTACGAAACACGGATACTTCGTTGAAGTTGATGTACCCGTGTCAGATACCGTATCAGATACGATACTCGAGGATATGTATCAGATACACCTTCTACGTATCCGATAATAATTAAATATTAAAATACTTCACGAATACTTTTGTAATAAAACAACATGTATAATTTTTTAATTGAACTTTTAACAACTCTTTTCGAATTCACATACTATACAATACATTAACAAAAATTTCATATTACTTATAAGGCACATGAATGTTTTTTTAAGTATTATCTATAATTACATGTCAAAAGACCATATAGTAAAGCTATCACATTATAATGTTAGTAAAAATTACTTCTAAATACTAGGCAAATATTAATTTTGATTCTTTTAATTAGTCACTTTCCTTTGGAATATATCACAGCGACACGATATATATTTTCTTGAAACTGAAAAGAATTACTAATTTTTCTTATTATATGTTAAAGAACAACCAAAATATATAAGTGTTAAGTTGTTTAAAAATAATAAAAATATTAAATATGTTTTATTATAGTTATATCTTGACCGTATTCGTATCCTACTTTTTTAGACTTTATCGTATCGCCGTATCCGTATCGTATCATACCCGTATCTATATTCATGTTTCATAGATAAGCACCATACTAAGCTGTTTCTAACAAAAACTCTGGTCACCAGAGCCGTAACCCTCCAGCATGAAAATAGTTCTGAGACAACGTCCCCTTCCCAACCCCCACCATAAAGCAAGCTACCAACTTGTCTTCGCATTCCAATTTCCAACCACCACCATATTGCCCTTTCAACACCTAACATCATCACTGTGCCTCCACTGCTTAATTTTTGATTAAAAATTACTTCCCTGCACAATTAACTAACGCACCTTGCTGGTTTCCTTGTCATTTCAAACACCGGCACAGCAACTTGCGCTTTTTATCTTCATCATAATAATAATTGAAACATTTGACCCTACCCACTAAAAGCTCTTAACCAAGTTCAAAGATTCGACAACAAATAAAGTTATGAATAAAGCAGATAAAGGCAAATGTACATCAACATCAATAATCCAGTATCTGTCCACCTACTGCCTAAATACTCACATTTTGCAAACTAAAATGTGGAAGGAGCTACCTCGTTATTTAGGGATTTGATGCAGTCCGGGTTCTCCTCAATCTGCCACGTGTAACCCGAATGGCTTCTTCTATGACTGTTTCTTGTGGCGGAGGGTTTACATTATCATTTGCTGAAGAAGACACTGATTCGATCTGCATTGCTTCTTCATCATTTGAGTTCAAAGATTTGGCAGCTTCAGTAAGAGGTGGTGTTGCAGTTGTTTTGTGTGCGTTCAGGCCATCAGCAGCGGGGGCTTCTGTAGGAACTTGTGACGGACCTGCCTCTTCTGCTTTGTCTTCTTCGGATTGGCTTGATATACTAGAACTAGGGGAAGGAGGTTCTTCCGGCTGAGGCTTTGTTGTGGCAGCTGATTTGCGATTTGACGCTGCAGTGGGTTGGCGAACTCTAGCACCTTGTTGCGTCTATAAGTTCAGGGCCATTGATAGTGTATCAAAAAAAGGGCTTTACAAATGTAGTAATGGGCGTAACAAAGTTCATTTCAATCATGTACACAAGACAATTTGCAATCAACTACCATTCAAAATCACCATTCAAGAATCACTTGCACTAAGAAGAAAAAGGAAAGAACAAACAAAAGTAAGGCTTGTAACTAAAATATTTGAAAAACTGTCTCATGTGCAAGCAGGGGGAAAGCATAATTTTGTAGCAAAATAATTTTTCAATGTAGGGAGTCAATCCACAGAATTTATTTTTCATTTGCGCCAAAAATGATGGTAGTTTTCCATTTTGTCTATTTGATTCTTCTTCACTAAGTTGACACTTATGATACAAACTCCTCCACTTCTCTTCTTCCTTCCTCCAATCGCATAGACACTCTCCAAAACCACCCAAAAAATTTCCCAACCTAAGGGGAGGATGGGGGAAACTTTTTCATCCGAACTTCCAAGCATGCCAGACCATTGTTACATTTTCCCTATATAAATAAAGCACTCCATCTTTGGGTGAATATATAAACAATCATTCATGGGAGGTTTTAAGTTATAAAGTTTTGGAGATAAATATAATACCAATTTTCGATGGAATAACACTGAAAGACACATAAATGTGGACCGACAAGCAGTATACCAATGATGGGTTTTATTGGGCAACAAAAATAAGGTTTAATGTGCACAAGAACTAGAATACCAGATTAATGAGCAGGTTAATAACAACAGTTACTCAAACATACCCGAGGAGGGCCTGGTCTGGAAGTCGATTGCGAAGCAATATATTGCAAGATCTCAAAAACTCTTGTCTGACCATAACTAGCAGCTTTTTGCCAGTACAAAACTGCAATATCTCCAGCCCTAGTCCTCAGTTCCAACAAGTTACGATCAATTTCTGTCTCATGCTTTGTGACATAAGGTCTAAAGAAGGAATCATAAATATATGTTGTTCCCTGAAATGAATGAATTCAAAGACAAATATTAACTTCAAAAACAAAACTATTAGAATACACATTAGTTCCCACTTCCCAGAGAAGAAGAATGTGTACCTTTGTCTTAGGATACCACAGGTATATGACAAATGCCAACTTAGCTTCAGAGTACATTGGAACCCTTCACAAGGAAACAAGATAAGAAACTCCATGGAATTCCAGAATCAAATACATCACCTAAAAATCTCGAAAACTCAACTTGGGATTCCTTACCATGAAACAAAAGTGTCGCCAATCCTCTCACAAACCGTCAATACAGCAACTAGGATCCTAAAATTTCAAAAAGAAAAATAAATAGTTTTACCACCAGTTCCAGAAGTGACTCTTACCGGAAAAAAAAAAAAAGAAAGCAAAATACCAATACTGGCACCAAAAGCGAAGTTGCTCAATGTCAGGCTTATTCATTTCCACAGTTTTGTAGCACTCATAAGCTGGATAAACATAACCAAAAACCATCCTGCCGAAGAAAAAATGATGAGGCTAAATTCTCTATAACAGCAAAAACTGAACTAGTTGAAGTCCATCACAAAGAGAGGAGGAGAAACTAGAGACATACACAAGGCCTCTGGTAAGAAAAGACCCAATCATATTGATTTCCTGATGCAAAAAAAGAAAACAGCTCATTAAGTCAGTCAAATTCTGCAATTTGTGAACAAATCACTCTTACTATACTTGAAGGCATCTGTCAGCATGGAAATGAAGCCTTGAAATGAGAATTGAAGTAAATTAGTATAAAGTTTGAGATAGTAAGGTCTCAATTTCTATGCCAATGTTCCAATTTCATGCTGTCAAATGCAATATTAGAACACAACCGGATTTGTACTAGAAACCAAATTTAGCCTGCAAATCAGGTTACATTTTCTTGCCTATAAAAATGAGGTTAAAATAAGAAGCAGTTTCAAATTCTACACCTTATGCAGAGTGTAGTTCTTAAATAATAAAGCGTGTCACTATTTTTTCTAATTTCATCCAAGTAAATTATGCAGAAACAATCCGAAATTACTATTTTTCCGGTTCCTCATATCTCTTTCATTTTCTAAGCTACCAAAACTGGTAAAAGATCAGCAAGAGGGCCTTCCTAATCGCTCAATCAGCTTGATCAAACAAAAACATATACCATTAGCAACAAATTTTTACCTAAAAACTGAACAAAATGAACAGATCACGCAGATGAACGCATTGCTATCCACCAAAAACTACCAGAAAAAAACTAGGGCAAAGTCCTACCAAAAAATTCATTCAAATCACCAATAGAAGCTACGAAGAAAAACAAAAAAGGCTTATACACATTAAACCTACTCATCGAAACCGTTGTCAGTTTGAGCGAAGATAACACAGAGGGAGCAATCACAGTTTAAACACTACAAAAATCAAAATTAACATTCACAGAGAATTCAACGAAGAGATACTTTTCGAATAATTGCAACAATCGAACCAATAAGACGACAAATATATAATAGAGAGGACTTACCTGCTGATAATTATTTCTGAAACAAAGTGAAAAAAAAATGTGTGTGTTGTATGTATATACCAGAAATGAGTGATAATCGAAAGTGCTCGGCCAAGTGTAATAGAGATTAAAGGTGTTTCAGAAACTTTTAAAAAAGAACGCCGGCGTACATACAAGCGGCACCGCCGTCACGCGACGGCGAACCGTTTCAATGTCGGCGGAGAGAGAGAGAGAGAGAGAGAGAGACTGAGAGACTGAGAAAAGACGCAGGAACAGATTGCGTCGTTTTGAAATTAAACGTGGTTTCTTTCGGATTTGTTTGGTTGGCAGAGTGGCTTAATTTTCACCGAAAAAAATACTGTTTCCGGAATGTAAAATCATCTAGCGTGTGAAGGACACACAAGTATAGTGTGAGGCTTATCGTTAATCACCGTTGGAAATAAAACAGACGGCTTACATTTATCAGTATACAAAAACTGAACAGGTTTCATTACTTCTGCAGTACCCAACTCGTCATTAATGAAGTGTAATGCAATTTTTGTATTTTCAGAAAAATGCTACACTCACCCGAAGGGGACGTAGTGCAGTTCACATAACCGCCTGACTTTACAGTTAGCCCACGATGATTGAAGATTAATGGTTCCTTGACGAGGGTTAATGTGGTCTAATCATGTGTGGGAGTGACGTTACTTGGTTACAGCTACGTGACATTAGTACTGCTTGATATAAACTCGAAAAGCGAGACTCAGACGCCGATTAGTGAGTGAGTAAGGTATCTAATCGCTATGGATAAGGAGAAAAGTATATTATTCCACTAAATCACAACCCCACTCCCCACCACAAACCAAAAAAAAATAAAAAATAAAAAATTACCATAATAAATATTATTATTGATTTTAACAATCATTATCATTGATTTAATTATCAATTTCAATATTTGTTAAAATTTATTATTAATTCAATAATTATTATTAATTATTTTAATAAATCAAATTAATATTCTAGCTTCAAGTAGCAGTTTTTTAATATTCTATTACAGATGAGTAAGGTCAAGGTATCTAATTGTTACGAATAAGGGGAAAAGTATGTTGTTTCTCCAAGCCTGCCTTAAGAGCAAAAAATACAGAATTTTCCTATGTGGTTCTAACAGAACAAAAGAGATATTTTGAATGATAATTATGTATTCGAAAGATAGATACGTGATTTGAATGGTTTTATAATCGTGAAAAAAAAAATCGCCAAAGTAAGAGACCTCTTACTAATTTTAAAGATATATTTATTGAGAAATAAGAATAATTAGCCTTTAGAAGGCATAAAAAATATTGAATTTAAGATTTCTTACTTTCAAAAAGATAAACTTGATCCGTGAACTAGTTAAAAGGCGGAGGAGAGTGCTTTGATCACTGGACTACTTATGAGGTGGAGGAAAGTGCTTTCATCATTTGCAACAAATGGTGGGAATCTGTAATTTATTTATTTATTTTTTTTAAAATTTCAGGTATTCTTATTTTATGAAAGTTCTCTGCAACATTTTTCTATTTGGCAGCTAACGGCTATATATCACTTTTATGTTGACCAGGATACATATAGCACTGTTCTCAATAATTATGCGCAACAGCAGAGCTACGATTCTTAGGAGAAAAATATTATGTAACATAAATTTTTAGTGGTGTTTGCTTACTTTGCAAATGAACTGAATTGTTTATTAATAGTTTAGAAACGAATAAAATAAAATTTCGTCCAAGTTTATTTATTCATCATATTTATTGAACTTGAGCTAAACTTTAAATAAATACTGTACACTCAATAAATTGAGCACAAATAATGACTTGTTCGGCTCTTTAGACTCGAATACATATATGTATATATATACTTGAAAACACATTCATATGTATATGTGTAGCCTGTTTTTGATTGGATTAGAGATGGGGTTAATCAAAATATACATAAATTAGTCTAATCATCCCCGACTATTGAACTAAAAATGTTGAATGGGTGCCGTACAGTTGGGAGAAAAACAGAGGGGACACAACCCCCTAAAAGAGGGAATAAGCATGCGAGTGAAAGTTTTTGCAAAGCCTTGGATTCTACATTTATGAAGGCGGGTAATGGAACAATAGTTCAAAGCCATGATAACTGATACCCAAGTCCAAGGGTGTGGCCACAGCATCACATGCCTTACAATGATAGCTAAGTTGTTGGCTTGTTATTCTCATCCCCAACCAGTTCACCACCTTTTATCTACTTTACTCCGAGAGGGAAGCTTCTTTCCATGGTGTATTTGTATAGTAAGATTGGAAAAATCCATGAAACCTTATGGAGGATCTCGACTGAACATGAAAAAACATAAGCAATGAACTTTACTGGAAAAATGAAAGCCTAGTCATGGAAATGCGCAAGGATCATGTGATTACTTCCTTGACATCGAGGTTGATACTGTCATAAAATTATTCTGTTAGGATGAAGACGTCATAAGTTAAATTTGTGCAACAGATTTTGCATACGCAGAGACAACAGTATATGATAAAAGTCTTGTGCATAGTAACCATTAATTTGTATTATATTATAATTACTCAGGTTTATTTTCAACCCTACTTTATATTAAATAAGAATAAAATATTTTCATATCTTCCCACGTTTAAGGTCTACATTTAGAATTCATATTCCTTATAATACACTTTTCTAATATTAAATCACCCACCTTGAATAATGAGAGTCCATTTATAAAATTGAGAAAGATTAAGATAAACTATTATGAGGAATGTCTCAATCCTTAATTTTCATAAGTTTTTTGTTTAATTTCCTTCAGTTTTGTAAGTGTTTTTTTTAACTCATTGGGCCTTATTTTTGGAGAGATTAGGGCCCACACTAACAAGTAGTTTAGTGGATTGGGCTTCCCTAGTGGGTTTTATTGTTGAGAACGTACGGGCCAATGCAGACTAACCAAGTCCTTTACACGATTGGGCTTTTCTAGCTCAATGGGTTTTATTTTTGAGAGCGCCCGGGCCAATACAGACCCAGACTGTCTGGGCTTTATGGTACCCATATGATTGGTATCCAGCCCCCCAAGCGCAGGTTAAGAAAAAAAGAAACACGAGTATGAAAAAAGCCACCCTCTTGTCTGTAGATTGAGAATTCCATATCACAAAAACTCCTAACAGATGAAGGTGAAGGTTTTGGAAGTTTCGGATTCTAATGGAATATCCTCAAATCCTTCCATGTCCGAGTTATAGTCATGGGTAGCAATAGATTAGCTTTATATTATAGTCAGGTCACAGTAATATGTTTTGATGGATTAAGATATTAACAAAAGATCAGCCATTGAAATGTTTTAGAACCTTCGTAGGATATAAAAAATATTTGAGAATCTTGTTTTAACAAAAGATAGATCAACTATCTCATTAGCAACGATTTATGGTCAACCTGGCCGAAAAACGGGACTGTTGTTTTTGGTATGACTAACCTGTCTGTTTTCTTTAGATCGCCGCACATACATAAAAAGAGAAAGGATCACCAGAGCTGTTGATCTTGCTCAAAACACAGTTGCCATTTTTCTTTCTTTTTCCTATATGTAGCTCTGGTGCCTGAATTCTAATAATCTATTCAAGTCCAAGTTGCCAAGGCTCTGATTCAAACAGTGTGACAATGATAACCAGTCAACTTCGAACCTCAAGATAACTAGACATTTGAAATTTATCCCCTCGTATTGTATAGATAAAGGGTATTATTTACACATTCAAATATACAGAGATCAATTTTTGTTAAAACAGTATTCAATTATGTTTTTTACTTTAGAACATAAACCTTTTCAGAAATACAAGACATAATATTCCCTACAATTTACCTACTATCGTTATGTTGTGAACGTGCAATATACTAAATAATCATATTGCATATTGTTATTTATGCTAAACAATACTTACCGAAATTTTTTTATACTAACCAAAAAAAAATCCTAAATAATCAAGAAACATAATACTTAAGAACAAGAACAAAAAATTTACGTGATTCAATAGAAATTTCTAGCTACATTTGTAAGAATGACTTTTCTTTATTATCGTTCTATAAGAATCCAAAGAATTACAACATATTTATAGGCACCAATTAATAACCCCTAGTCCAATAAATCTTTTACATCAATTCCTGATAAATTTTCTAACTTACCCAATCCTGATAAAACTCTACATTGGAAACATTCAATGTACCCATTCTCTGCTGCTAGGTATTCCCCACATCCCCCAACCTATTACCAAACAATAGTACTGTTGATTTTTAGCAAGGACTACATAGTGAATATGAACTGTTCACTATTCCTAACAAATCATAATACAACAAATGAAAGAAACTATGAAGCTCAAACAAATCCGGAAATCCCCAAATGAAAACTATGAGTCATCATCATCAGGAACTAAGAATGCTTGGTCTTTCTATTAACAAAGTGATCTTTATTCTATATATCTACACTTCAGAATATGCAGATAGCAGCTAACAAATGACCAATCAAAGAACAATCTAAAACAATTATCAAAGCAGTTAAGAGATCATATAGTTGTGCATTCTAACCATTTCTCTCCTTTGGTCTCCTGTATATGGGAAATATATCTTCTCTGCATTTCAGCATTTCCAGAAGAATATCTTCGTTGTCAGACGTCTTCTCCGAATCCTCCTCTCCGCCCTCAATTTGATTCAGTGTTGCATTAAGTTTGTCTGTCAGTTCACGATCAAATGTTTCTTTCAGTAGATCCCTGAAACGCTTCTTAACAGCGTCAAAAACCTCCATTTCCATCTTAGAATTGCACTGCTTCAGCTTCGCAATTCCGGATTTCAACTGTTTAAATTTTGCCAGTAATTTTTCCTTTTGTACCGTATAACTGAAAAATTCCTCTTGAAGGCGAGGCATATCAGTCTGAAACTCAACTATTAGACTGCGTATCAGTGCCAAGGCCTCGGATTCTTCATCCACAACTATATTCGTTTTTTGCTTCTCATCTAACTCCCCTTTCATCACATCCTCTCCTTTCCCATCGATTTCCTCTATTCTTTTCAGAAATTCCGGGAAGTACATTTCAGAAAAATCATCAGAAGCTAGGCCATCATCAGATCGATCTGACGCTTTCCGCTTTAAATTTAACTTGTTCACAGCACCTTGTTCTTCGTTCTCTCCATCATATTTAAGCTTTCTAATAGATTCGCACACCTCTTCTTCCAGTCCTTCAACATTTGTGTAAGAATCAGGTTGAATACCATCGTTGAACTGATCAGGATCTTTTAACTTCTCCTCCTCATATTCTTGTTTAGTATCACTCGTCAGTTCCAAAGTCTTCTTCAGCTCTTCTTCTCCTGCATCATCATCATTGCCTAATTCTTTGACTCCTCTAGCTAATCTCTCAAATTCATACATCCTCTGGCCTAGTATATCAAGAATGGGATTTGTATCTTCAACTATGTCATTGCGGTCTTGATCAGTGAATTCAGCTTTCGTGATTGTTCCTTCAATAAAGAAAATCAACAAAAATGAAATAAAATACAAAAGAAACTAGTAAAGAAAAATCGATGATCAGAAATACACTCACATATATTGAGACACGCACATGCACAGAGGCGAAAGAGAGAGAGAGAGAGAGAGACCTTGATTTTCTTGATCTGGCTGTTTCTTTATCTTCAAACCCTCCTTGACATAATCTTCGACATTCACAGAAATTCCAAGATCAGGATCGTTGGAAGCGGCGGATGACGATTGCGGCAGATCACTATTCGTACTGTCCGCCATGAATGATCTTGCAAAAACAAAGAAAAGTCACAGAAATTAAGCAAGCATATATACATATAAACACACGTACACACGTATCGATACTGATATATGAGAGAGAGAGAGAGAGAGTAATGTGTTGATGCCGTACTTGATGTTGCAGAGAGTGTGAGGGCTTCGTTCCTGCTAGAGAGAGAAAGAGTGGGTTGAGAGAGTTTTGGCGCTTAAACTACGAAATGCAAGGCTTTAAATAGACTGGTAATAACTAGGGGGGATAATTTAGGTATTTTGTTTATTGACTAACTGAAATTCTACCCTTAGGTGAAAAAAAAAAGTCTTCTCAAACTTGCCTACACAGGCAACAGATAAGACATAAGGTAAAATCACTCTGAACAAAGCTTCAGACCAAAGGAACAAAACGAATACAAGTTGACCCCGAGATCCATTCCACAAACATGTGTTTACCAAATTATTTATTCGATATTATCCGGTAACGCGAATTGTTGGATTAGCGTGTAGATTTTAAAAACACAATTTTACTAAATTTGTTAAAAGCTCATTTTAAAATCTGATTAAGTCCAAATAACAATTTTATTTAATTCAACTTTATTGTATATTCATTAGACACAAATTTGAAATTGTGGAACATGATATAAAGGGTTCAAATTATCATGTAAAACGGCAATTCAATTCAAATATTAAATTTAATTTTGGATTAAAATTTGATTCATTGACATGTGCACCTAGTTGGGACCTTCCAAGGGTGATTCGTGCAACTAAAAAAATTGTGTGAGAAGGAATTGAACTCTTCCTAATCTAAGAAAATAACCGAGGCTAACAAAAGGAAAATCAATGTCAAAAAAGAGCAGGGTCTACGACCCTTATTAAAATTTAGAGGTGATTGAGCGGTCATGTTTGTCCTTTTACAAATAAAAGATTTTAAGTTTGATATTTTTTCACATCTTTGTTTTTTATGAAACATATTTTAAACTAACTCGAATTATCGTGTTTGGTCTTATAACTCAATAGAACAATCGGTGCAAGTTTTGTTAAAAAAAAAAAACTACGACCCTTATTTTAAATTAACTTTTAATTATCCTAATTTATTCCCTAAATTATATCAGTTGTTTCGATCCACTCCTTCCATTAATATTAACCATTCACAAGATGAGAAAGATGGGAAGAGGGCTTTCTTTACTAGAGAAGCTGAATGAAAGATTATTGGTTAATTTTAATAGAATTTATCTTATTAATAGTTAATTTTAATGAAAATTGTCTCATTTATTAATTAATTAATTTCAAATGATTGATTAAAAAAATTATTTAATTTATGAGATAAATTAGAATAATTAAAAGGTATAATTTAAACTAAATATTATAATTTAAGGGTCATTTATGATATTTATCTTACATGTTAATTTCATGAAGAAAATAACTACTTAGCTACAGACTAGAAAAAGAAAAGAAAGGGCCCGCGACAAGCTTTTATTAGGGTTTAGCGTCGTCTCTGTTATCAATCGAAGAANCACACGTATCGATACTGATATATGAGAGAGAGAGAGAGAGAGTAATGTGTTGATGCCGTACTTGATGTTGCAGAGAGTGTGAGGGCTTCGTTCCTGCTAGAGAGAGAAAGAGTGGGTTGAGAGAGTTTTGGCGCTTAAACTACGAAATGCAAGGCTTTAAATAGACTGGTAATAACTAGGGGGGATAATTTAGGTATTTTGTTTATTGACTAACTGAAATTCTACCCTTAGGTGAAAAAAAAAAGTCTTCTCAAACTTGCCTACACAGGCAACAGATAAGACATAAGGTAAAATCACTCTGAACAAAGCTTCAGACCAAAGGAACAAAACGAATACAAGTTGACCCCGAGATCCATTCCACAAACATGTGTTTACCAAATTATTTATTCGATATTATCCGGTAACGCGAATTGTTGGATTAGCGTGTAGATTTTAAAAACACAATTTTACTAAATTTGTTAAAAGCTCATTTTAAAATCTGATTAAGTCCAAATAACAATTTTATTTAATTCAACTTTATTGTATATTCATTAGACACAAATTTGAAATTGTGGAACATGATATAAAGGGTTCAAATTATCATGTAAAACGGCAATTCAATTCAAATATTAAATTTAATTTTGGATTAAAATTTGATTCATTGACATGTGCACCTAGTTGGGACCTTCCAAGGGTGATTCGTGCAACTAAAAAAATTGTGTGAGAAGGAATTGAACTCTTCCTAATCTAAGAAAATAACCGAGGCTAACAAAAGGAAAATCAATGTCAAAAAAGAGCAGGGTCTACGACCCTTATTAAAATTTAGAGGTGATTGAGCGGTCATGTTTGTCCTTTTACAAATAAAAGATTTTAAGTTTGATATTTTTTCACATCTTTGTTTTTTATGAAACATATTTTAAACTAACTCGAATTATCGTGTTTGGTCTTATAACTCAATAGAACAATCGGTGCAAGTTTTGTTAAAAAAAAAAAACTACGACCCTTATTTTAAATTAACTTTTAATTATCCTAATTTATTCCCTAAATTATATCAGTTGTTTCGATCCACTCCTTCCATTAATATTAACCATTCACAAGATGAGAAAGATGGGAAGAGGGCTTTCTTTACTAGAGAAGCTGAATGAAAGATTATTGGTTAATTTTAATAGAATTTATCTTATTAATAGTTAATTTTAATGAAAATTGTCTCATTTATTAATTAATTAATTTCAAATGATTGATTAAAAAAATTATTTAATTTATGAGATAAATTAGAATAATTAAAAGGTATAATTTAAACTAAATATTATAATTTAAGGGTCATTTATGATATTTATCTTACATGTTAATTTCATGAAGAAAATAACTACTTAGCTACAGACTAGAAAAAGAAAAGAAAGGGCCCGCGACAAGCTTTTATTAGGGTTTAGCGTCGTCTCTGTTATCAATCGAAGAAAATCACCGTTGTGGTAGTTGCTGGTCTTTCGTCAAACTGGAATCATCAACTGAAGAAAGCTTGAAGACTAGGGATTGAACTCCGGAAAGGAAGAAAAGTGATGTTGTATGTGATAGGTCTTGGTCTGGGAGACGAGAAGGACATCACTCTCAGAGGTCTGGAAGCAGTGAAGAAATGCGACAAATTGTACATTGAGGCCTACACTTCTCTCCTCTCTTTCGGCCTTTCTTCCGATGGCCTCTCCACTCTGGTCTGTTGTCTCTTGAATTCCCTTTTATCACTTTTTTTTCTCATCTTCGACCACCTTCACTTATGTAATTTAAAGTTTCGTTCTTCAATTGAATACTTTCGCAGGAAAAACTTTATGGGAAACCAGTTACGCTTGCCGACAGGGAAATGGTTGAGGAAAAGGCAGATGATATACTTATGGAAGCTTGTGGGTCGGACGTGGCTTTCCTTGTTGTTGGGGACCCATTTGGGTATGATACTTCTTTTACTTCTCATTCTTTTGATCTGTGCTTAACAGTTCTATCAATCTTTTATGCTCATGTCTTGAATTAAGCGGTTGATGGTTATTTGTGATTGTTTTGAGCGAAGTCATTGGTTTTTGATACACAAAGATGCTTTAGGGACTGTCTCATAGACGATTATTTCATTGTACGAGTTTTCCTGTGATTCAGAATTTTGTTTGTTGGATTTTGTAAGGAATTCCACTGTGAACCCAAAAAAATGCGTCAAGTTCCAGTAGGTACATCTTTTTGGGTTAATAAATTGTATTGCTTAAATCTGTTGTGACGTGAAGATCTATTGCCAGAATGTTGTTGAATCTGGAAATGAAGTTTTTAGTTAAGAAATGTGCTGGTGCTCAAAAGAAATTAGTAAAAGTGAGACTTTTTCTTCCTGTTGTGTTGTTACTGTGATAATTTTTCGTCTCTTCGTTGTTGGTTTTGTTGTTGATTGAGTAAATTTATATTTGCAGACACTGGATGTTGTGCAATTCCTTGAATTCAGATATCATTACTGTTGATCTATGGACTATTTTTGAAATTTCTGGCCATAGGAATATTTGGCTTAAATTAAAAAACATAAACAATTGCACATATTGAAATTGTAGATGTGCATTGCTGTTTGGGTACAATTTTTTATTTTTTATTTTTTATGCAATGGAGTTCTTTTTTCGCGTCTCTTGTGAACCACAGAGCTACAACACACAGTGATCTTGTTGTTCGAGCAAAGAAGTTGGGGGTAGATGTCAAGGTGGTACACAATGCATCAGTGATGAATGCAGTTGGAGTTTGTGGTCTACAACTCTACCGTTATGGAGAAACGGTTTCCATACCATTCTTTACTGAAACATGGAGACCTGATAGTTTTTATGAGAAGATTCAAAAAAATCGAACACTTGGGTTACACACTCTCTGCTTGTTAGGTGAGATAATCATATGCAGTACAGAATTAGTAAGTTATTATCTTTTGAGTTTCTTAATCGTTGGTCTTTGGTCCTTTTAGCCTGTTATCTACTTATCTGGGAGCATGATCATTAATTAACTAATCTTATCTGTCCTAAGATCACTCATACTGGGCGACCATCCCTTCAGAGGGGAATTATTGACTTAACTCTTTTTGAACTATCAAAATTCTCCTGCATTATTCTTAAAGCCACGACATGAAAACTCCGATGCATGCCAACATCTGCCACCAGAAAAAAGATAGGGAAGAAAATTCTCTCTTGGAGCTCACTGTATCTATCTTAAATCTGCAGATATACACGTGAAGGAACCGACTCTGGAATCCTTGTGTAGGTAATACTTTAAATTGAATGTGGTGCTTCTTACATACATATCTTCTCTATCATCTGTCTGTTGTTTAATAACATCTTTCAGCTGTCGATTGGATCTGTTTTGACAATTTGTCTGCTCCTCATAAATTCTCCAGAGGAAAAAAGCAGTATGAACCACCAAAATACATGACTATAAACACTGCAATTGAGCAGCTCTTGGAGAATGAACAAAGGCGTGGAGAATTTGGTAGGCTTTTGAATTTTTATTTCCTCTATCATTAGCATTCATCATGAGCTGCTTCTTGTTTTGATCATCAATTTGCTTTTGTTGATGGAGTTGATGTTAGTCATCCACTGAGCTTCCTGATTATCATACACTTGTATGAACAGTCATCCCAATATGCCAAAGTATTGAGGATGCTGAGATAGTTGTGTTCTGATGGATGGGATACTCTGTCAACTGTATAGGAAAGTTTAGGAAATAGAACCTCCTGATTGTGCTAGGTGATGCTTTTTGTGACCTGGCACAAATAGTTGGAAAACCAAACTAAAGAGGGAACAAACTAAGTCGGACCTATAGGAAATTGTGGTTAAGTGACTATATCTTTTGTTTGGAGATGGGCATGTTTTCTTTCACCCTTTAAAGTAGCAATGAGAACTGTTGTTCCAGATCATCCATTTGGATCATAATTTTGTGTCAATGCATGTGGTTGCATTTCCCATTATAAATGTGATTCCCCATGTTCCAACTGTGTAATGATTCCTCGAGTGTCTGTGCCTTTTGCCTTGGCAGAAGGGTCTAGCTTCTGTTATTCCTCAGGTGGTGTTTTTCAGGATCAAAGTTCTCCCCAAAGCTCATATGTCATGTTTTTGAGTATTATTTGGGCAAGTGAAGAGAACTAGCCTAATGTACTAACTACAGCTTATTTGCAATTCGCAGCATACAGTGAAGACACTACTTGTGTTGGTTTTGCCCGACTGGGAAGTGAAGATCAGACCATTGTTGCAGGTTCAATGAGGCAACTACAGATGGTCGACTTTGGAACCCCTCTACATTGTCTCGTCATTGTAGGCAAAACTCATCCTGTGGAAGAAGAAATGCTGGAGTTTTATAGACTCGGAGAAAATTCAAATCAAACTACTTAATACTAACATTTATTTTTATCCTTTAAAAATATATTTTTATATATCTAGTTGTTGCATTGATAAATTTGTTCCGTCTCATGTCTCGTGGCTTTCACATCTGTACCCCGAACTTTGTGCTCTAGTACGCTGCAATTGGATGAATTCAAAATCGGTGAGCAGAATAGGCAGGAGATGCGAGAAACAATGGAATACCGAATATTTAGATTGGGTTCTGGTTAACCCTTTCAAGTTACGCCTTCGAATCCCCTCCATAGCTTATATGTAATGCCACTTTTGGCTAACTTTGGAAAATATATTACTTACCCAAAAAAAATATATTAAAAACATTATTTTTTTATAATAGCTTTTGATAAATATATAAGTTGACCAAAAGTTTGTCAATTAACATGCCGTTTCTCTCTTCTCTACCCTCCGTCACAGTCACAAATAAATTGCCATACCAATAAAAAAGAAAGATAGATTGTCATAATCACTCACCAGACGGGTGGCTGATTAAACCATGCTATTCACTTTTACGATGCAATCAAAAATTGAACGTCAGTTACAACTCTTTGACACTGTAACGGTAACACTATACGTAATTATTATCAAGAAATTTTTTTATATAATATTATAGGTATTGTGAAGTTGAATTTTTAATTTATAAAAGCACAACAACGATTGAGATTGATTTAATTTTCATTTATTTTAATCTAATGTTACAAAATTCATTCTCAAATTTTTTTTCCATCCAAAAACATCCACTCTTATGCACGACTTCTAATGTCAAATAATTCCATCAATCTGCACTTAATTTTTCTTGAAATTACTGCATAATACTGGAGTCTTATCGAATATTTTCATTTTGTAAAACCCCTATATTAATTGTCATAATTGTATAATGTCCCATATTCAATAGTTATCACGAGAAATTAATAAATTTTATCAATCTTATTTATTTATTTATTATTAATCGATGATGCCACGATACTAACACGGCCCAAGCCCAACTATTTTATTGAATGTTTACTCCAATAGGCGTTACTTGCCGCATTAATTTTTTGTTCGGTCCTCATTACAAAAAATCCCGCGTAATAAACGAGGGCATTCCCGTCATTACACACAAAACGGAAAGGAAACCATCAAAGGAAAACTGCTTCCAACTGTCGGTGCCCTGTTCCGCCATACCATTTCACAGAAGCTCTGTCTGCTTCTTTGAGAGCCAATACCAACCACGAGTGTCCATTACCTGCATTGTTCTCTAACCAACCATTCAAAAACCTAAAGATTTTTTCTCGAACAAAAATTACACATCCACTCCTCTAAATGATAGCTATTGCATTTCTTGTCTCGTTTAGCTTTTGAGAATTTTCAGATAATTCAATCTTTGTTTGAGTTGGATCTGAACCTGAAGGAAGTGTTTGATTTGAATTGAGCAATCAATATTTTTTGAATGGGAGAGAGAAAGAGGTCGAAGGAATGGTGTGGATGGTTTCTGGTTGTGATAGTTGGGGCGACTCTCGCATTTTCGATTTTTGTTCTTGTTAAGAAGAAAGCAGGGCATTCCGACTCCGAGGCCGCCCCTGTTCCAGGACCTCCTGGTGCCATCACCAAGAAATACGCCGATGCTCTTAAAGTCGCAATGCAGTTCTTCGACGTTCAGAAAGGTATAGTTATCCTCAATCTCTATCAATTATTGTTTTCTGATCCCTAGGTCTATAAAAAATTATTCAGTGTTTTGTTGATTTTCTTGAACTTTTTTTTTTTTTTTTTT